AGGGGCGTACCTAGAGCATTTGGCACCCGGGGCGGATCCTGTGCTTGGCACCCCCCCCCACCCAAAAAAAAAAAACCTGTAAAAAATGTTAAAGGTTTTCTTTCTTTATTTTTACAATTTGTAAACTTTGCAAAACCGCTGTCAGCCCCTCCTACAAAACCCTTGTCCTGCCCTGCCCCTCCTACAAAACCTCTGTCCTGCCCCTTCTACAAATCCTGTACTGCCCCATCTACAAAACCCCGCAACCCCCTTCCACAAATCCCCTGCTTATCCCCCCTTATAAAGACTCCTGTCCCAATACAAAACTCCCACCCCCTTCTACAAAATCCCTGCAGCCCCACACACACATTTACAGGCAGACAGTCACACACTCAGTTACAGACACAGTCACACACTCAGTTACAGACAGACAGTCACACACTCAGTTACAGGCAGACAGTCACACACAGTCACAGGCAGACAGTCACACATACACATTTCCTCTGTGTGGCCAGTTTATCAGCTGTTTGCTTGAGTGAGCTGTACTGGCCGCACGGCACCCTAACTACCATGGGACACTGTGCGGCCACAGCTCACACAGCCCCCTCCAGCAAGGGCCGGTACAAGGATTTTTGCCGCCCAAGGCAAAAGTAAAGTTTGCCGCCCCCCATGTGACATCACAATGCCCCAGCCATATGATTTGCCATGTTAGCTAACGCCAGTGCTGCAGTGCCGCCGTGTTTACATTAAAAGGCCTGCAGGGACAGGCTATAGACACCAGAACCACTACATTAAGCTGAAGTGGTTCTGGGGACTATAGTGTTTCTTTAACGTGAGGTAAATTAGAGCTTAGTGCCACGAATATTATACTAGATTGCCTACTTACAACCAGATGAGGATGATGATGGGCTCTAGCTGCAGTCTGGCTCCACTGGTCTGGTGCAGAACAGGCTCTCTGGAGGCGGTTTGTAACTGTAGTCACAAAAATCAATGTTCTGGGAGAACGGGAAGCAGCTCCATTTTTTGGGGGTCCTTTACACAGCTCAAGGTCTGGGTCCCAGGGTCCACCTTCATGTTCCACCAATGAGTTTGTTCACAGGGGGTGGAGTGTGTAGGGGATGTCCTGATATGTGTGTAAGGAATGCATTGCGTGAAATTGTGTTTGTATGTGTAAGGACTGCAAGGTGTGTTTCTGTGTATGTATGGGATGCATTGAATGTGTGTTAGGGGTGCATTGAGTGTGTGTAATGAATGCATTGTGTGTTTCTGTGTGTGTAAGGGATGCATTGTGTGTAACGGTTGCATTGCTTGTGTATGTGTGTCTGTGTGTGTAATGCATTGTGTGTTTTTCTGTGTGCATGGGGTGCATGGTGTGTATGTGATGAATGTCAATCTCTCCTCCCGCTCCAATTTCCTTCTCCTCCTCCCAATTTCTCTCTTTCTCACCCCCCCCTTATTTCTCTTTCTCACCCCTTGTTCCTCCTCTCTCACCCCTTATTTCTCTCTCTCACCCCTTATTTCCTCTCTCTCACCCCCTTGGCTTCTCTCACCCCTTGTTCTCTTTCTCACTTTGCCATTTCTCTCTCACCCCTTGTTTTCTCTTTCTCCACTTGCTTATTTCTCTCACTGCCCGGCTCTATATCTCACCCCCTTGTTCTCTCTCACCCCCCCTTATTTCCTCCTCACCCCTTATTTCTCTCTCTTTGCCATTTCCTCTCTCACCCCTTGTTTCTCTCTCACCCCCTTGTTTCTCTCTCACCCCTTATTTCCTCTCCTCACTTGCCATTTCTCTCTCACCCCTTATCTCTCTTTCTCACCCTCTTGTTTTGCTTTTTCTCACCCCTCTCACCCCTTATTTCTCTTTTCTCTGCCCTCTCTCACCCCCTTGTTTCTTAACTCTCACCCCTTGTTTCTCCTCACTTGTTCTCTCACCCCTTGTTTCTCTCCTCTCTCACCCCTTGTTTTTCTCTTTCTCACCCCTTCTTTCTCACCCCCTCCTCCCCCCCTTCTTTCTCCCCCTCCCCCCTACCTCCCTGTAGCGTGGCCGAGCCCTGTATAGTCCGCGGGTACAGGGAGCTTTTGTTTCCTGTACCCGGTCGGACTGACAGGAAGTGAACACTCAGTGTGCACTTTCTGTTAGTCCGGCCGGGTACAGGAGACAGCTGCTCTCTGTACCCGTCGGACCATGCTGCAGTGAGGGAGCTGACAGGAGCGCTCCCTCCTGTCAGCCTCTCCTCAGGCTGCGCCCGGGCGGTGCGGTCCGCCCTCATGGACGCACCGCCCGGGCAAAGCTGCAGCCGCCTGAGGCTCTTCACAGAGCGCTCGGGCGGCTGCAGCATGGGGGGGGCGGGGGGCTGGTCATGGCACCCCCCACCCGGCTGGCACCCGGGGCGGACCGCCCCCCCCGCCCCCCCTTCATGTGCAGCCGCCTGAGGCTCTTCACAGAGCGCTCGGGCGGCTGCAGCATGGGGGGGGCGGGGGGCTGGTCATGGCACCCCCCACCCGGCTGGCACCCGGGGCGGACCGCCCCCCCCGCCCCCCCTTAGTACGCCACTGGTTTAAACCGAAACTTAGATCAAAACGTATTCAAGTGTCCTACTATAGCAACAATGTTAAACAGAAATCTAGGGGTGTGGCGATTTTGATTGCATCCACCGCAGCCTTTACCGAGATCAGAGTCAAAACTGACCCAAGGGATAGGTTTGTGTTTGTGAAGGGGATATACAAAGGAGTTCTTAGAACACTGGCGAGTGTTTATACTCCAAACTCAGACCAAGTACCCTATATATGCTCTTGCCTAGCCAAGTTAGAAGGTTTTGCTGAGGGGGCTGTAATTGTAGCGGGAGACTGGAACATGGTGCTAGACCACTCAATAGACAGTTCATCTAAGAAAAAGAATACAATTATCTGTGAAGTACAGGCGCTTAAGGTGTGATATAATATAAAATCCAAATTGTGGTAAGCAGCTCAACACGTGTGTAGGTACCTCTAACCTTAACACAAAAACATGCAGAGGAAGAGTGGAGCGTTATAAGTGAGACCAATTGTCACAACCAACAAAGCCCAGTGGAGCGCTAATGTAATAAAGTACAACTTACCCTTATAATAAGGGATACAAATATGTACATAAAGCTATCTAAGGAGAAGAGATAAGGAAAAGCAATTGGTGCAGTATATAAAGGCTTTGAGGGATTGAGATGAAACTTGAATTGTAGCAAACTCACATGGTTGAGAGCCTGGAGAGGATAGGCTCAAATCACAATCGCAGTGGTATTTATAGTGAATACCCAATTTCTTCTAAGCTGTTTTTTAAATGCTCAAAAAGAGAAGCAGAGGGACAAAAAGACCCTAGTGTAGTATCCTTTAGACCAACGGAGCAATACAAATGAATAAAGATATTTGCTCACCTTGTTAAGAGCCAATGTACACTAGGCTCTCAGTTTAAACAGCACTGTGCCTTTAAGAGGGCACAACTCTTTTTTTTAGCAGCAGGAAAATGACAATTCAAGGAACTTGATGAAGAAAATAAAATAAATGTATTAAACTTACATATATAAAAGATAAATAAAATACCATTAAATAATGGTCAAATAAAAAAGGAGTCCTTGTTGTCCGAGACGCGTTTCACCTTATACCAAGGCTTTTTCAATCGATTTCCTGCTGTTATGATTTTCCGTTTTAAATACTGTAAGGTGCTTCCTCGTTGGTCAAAATGCTTTAATTTACCCGCCATTGGTCGTCCAATCCTAATAGAGTCCTTCAGGGCTTCCGTTGTTGGTGCACTCGAAACCGGACGTGACGTATCGCAACGGCCGCAACGTCACTTCTGGTCTCTGCCGATCTCCATATTTAATGCTGGCAAAAGCCAGCCAGTCCACATATCGTCAATGGATGTAATATATAGTATATGGGGCATCATAGAAAACGGGAAAAGAGTTAAAAGAAGGAAGGGAAAAAGACATCAAATCTACAATTAGATTGTATTCTAATCAGTTGAATCTGTTCAAATAAAATTCTATGGTCAATATGATAACCTATAGCAGTATACCCAAAGTAATTTACATAAAGAAAAAAGAGAGGAACAAATGGTCCCAAAATTAACTTACATTGATCCCACCATTGAGTAGATGTAGTTGACATACATATAAAGTGTAATGGTCCCGGATATAAACGTTATACATTTCTATCCGTGTTGATCATACAATAATATAATGTCCCTTCATAGGGAAATATAGGTGTGGAAGGGCTGAGAAAAAAAAAAAAATTAATAATTTTTCCCCCCCTTCTCTTCCCTCCCCCTTTTCTCCCTTTTTATAAAAAATGACATAATTCGAAATCATTATTTAAACCTTTAGGATCCAAAGTATCCAACTGGAATATCCATTTCATCTCAGCCCTTCCCATCTTTCTCACCAAGTCATCACCTCTCCAATCCGGAACTATCTTTTGAATGGCCATGAATTGCATTTTTTTAGGATCACTATTATGTACATTTTTAAAATGGAGTGATACGCTATGTTTTATAAATCCATTTTTCACATTTCTAATATGTTCCTGTATTCTGACTTGAAGAGGATGCGCAGTACGGCCAATATATAAAAGGCCACATGGACATGTCAACATATAAATGACCCTTTTTGTGTGGCAGGATATAATGTCTTTTATTTTGTAGGTTTTTTTAGGATTTTTTGCATATACAAATTCCCTAATTTGTCTCTTACTATTATTAGTATTTTTACAGGCACCACAAACACCACAGCCATAGAAGCCTTTAGATTCATTAAATGGGTTTGTAGCTTCTTTGTTCCTATTTGAGTTGTTGTTAGAGAGACTATTTCTCAAGTTGGATACTCCTCTATAGATGACTCTAGGGCGTTCTGGTAAAAAACTATTAAGTTTCTCGTCGCTTTTGAGGATAGACCAATGTTTGCGAATGATCTTTTTTACTAAATTACTTTGATCTAAGACTACAGACCCTCGACACTGCCAACGGACACTGTTCTCCAACGTGCTCCACGCCCATGGACTGGGTCTGGGAAGCACACAAGGGAGCTGCGAGAGGCACCCTAATTAAATGGGGATCTAGAATTAAGAAAGAACGCACACATAAACTTAACTCCCTTACAACGGCCATACACCTCGCTGAATCCCTGCACAAACAGGACCCTACAACCGAGAACTTCCAGAAACTCACGGCCCTCCGAATAGAAATGCGATCATTATTAGCCCTTAAAGCACACAGATCGGTCCAGGTGACCAGGGGCTCCTTTTATACCCAGGGTAATAAATTCGGGAAACTATTGGCCCGAGACCTAAAAAATAAACATCAGAGGTCATTTATCGCCAAAATTACCGACAAAACAGGGAAACAATGCAATACCACAGACGACATAGCTACAGCATTTAGTACCTTTTATGAAGACCTCTACAATCTAGACCCACCAAGTAAACGACCTAACAACCTGAGGGAATATATTACCTCAAACCTTCCACATACTATCCCCAACTACACAGCACTCACACTCGATGAGCCATTCTCCGCAGCAGAACTATCACTAGCTATTAGGACTCTACCAAAAGGTAAGAGCCCAGGCCCGGACGGAATGACTGCGAGATACTACCAAACACTTGCACAGGCGTTGTAATGATATTGATGTAACAAAGTTTTGGAGTCCAGTAGCCAGATCAGCAATGTTTTCTGCCAGAGGTAGCCACTCGTTACCCAGGTGGTTGAGCCCCTGAGCCTTGAGTGGCCTTCTGGTCTTTAGCAGAGATGGGAGACTGGAACAGAAAGATGATAATCGTAGTGAAGCAAGCCGAGGTCAATGGGAAGGAGAAGCAGCAAAGTCAAAACAGTCCAAATTCAGCAACAGGTAGGAGAAACAGGAACAAGCTTGATTAGAGAGTACAGGAACCACAATAATCTGGCAAAGGTACAGAGACAGGAAGTGGCTTTTATAGGCCAAGAACCAGACACCTGACCAGACACAGCTGAAGAGAGTTGTCACTGATAACCTTGACTCTACAAGCAATGGTATCAGATCTCAGGTAAACTTACAAAAGGCAGGCTGGTGTACTGGTAAGGAAGAGGTTTAGCACCATGTAAACCAGGGTTCGAAACCCAGCAGAGTCAGTTCCTCACAGGCGTTAATCCCTCACTTTCCTAAGTCACTAAAAGGCCTGGCCCAGGACAACCCACTACCACACCCGATGTTGCGTGCATTGATCACTATTATTCCCAAGCCGGGCAAAGACCCCACAAAGTGATATCAAAGTCATTGATAAACCTGGATCTAAAACTAATGGCGAAAATTATCGCTAACTGACTTAACTCTTATTACCGGGACTAATCCACCCTGATCAGGCCAGCTTTGTGCCTGGACGCGAAGCCAGGGACAATACCACAAAAATCCTAAACGTCATACATGGGGCAACTGTAACGGACACACCGACACTGCTCATGGCAATAGACGCTGAAAAGGCATTCGACAGGGTGGATTGGTCCTATCTCTTCATGGTCCTGGAGATCCTGGGGGCTGGTCCGAGACTAAGGAATTGGATACAAACCTTATACAGGGGACCGTCCGCCAATGTCAGGGTCAACGGCCACTTATCCACACCCTTTCAGATAAATAATGGTACACGCCAAGGATGCCCCCTTTCCCCCCTCCTATTTGTCCTAGCTATGGAACCCTTCCTTACGGCTATCAGGAATAACAACAACATACGGGGGCTCTGGTACCCTGGGGGAGAGACGAAGGTATCCGCATTTGCGGACGACGTCCTCTTCACGATCACTGATCCAATCAACACCCTCCCACAGATCCAAACGGAGATTGGAACCTTTGGGACCTTATCGAGACAAATGCGAAATCCTGGGGATTTCTGTACCCCCTTCCCTACAAACACGGATACAACGCACGCACACCTTCCCTTGGTCTCGAACCAGACTAACCTACCTGGGAGTTAAGCTAACCACATTGCCCAAGGGCCTATACAAACTTAACTACCACCCCCCCCTTATAAGCAGCATTAAACAGGACCTCCACAAGTGGGATCTTCCCCACTTCTCCCTAATGGGTCGGATCAACATCTTGAAAATGATGGTCCTCCCGAGAATACTTTACCTGTTCCAGGCACTGCCAATTCCCCTCCCTAGGGACTTTTTCAGACAAATGCGAACCTTATTTATAACCTACACCTGGGGCAACAAACCGGCCAGAATAGCCTACTCCACACTGACATCCAACATAGGCAGAGGAGGCCTGGGTCTCCCCCACATATACAAATATTATGTAGCAGTATTATTTACCCGCATAAAGGAATGGACAAACACAAGCAAGAAAAAATCATGGTATAAATTGGAACAGAGCTTTGTACGGGCTCCTCTCCATACACTACCATGACAAACTTGTCAAGGAACTCTCCCCAACGCATCACCCACTCACACACAATGTCCTCACAACATGGAGACGATACAAAGACACATGGGGACTATCCCCGGGACTATCTAAGTTTTCCCCTTAGCAGGCAACCTAGACTTCCAGAGAGGAAAGGGGAGCTCTACCCTAGTAAGGCTTACAGGATAGCAGAACCCAGACATCACTGAGGTTCTGACAGCCGGGGACCCACCCACATAAAAGCTCTCCCTAGACGGAACAGACAGGATACACTCCTCGATATTATGGGCAGAACACAACTTAAGAACTTTTTAAATAGGTCGGTCATCCCCTTTTGGCGTCCAAGAGATAGTACTCCCTTTGAAAACCTATGTGGCCCAAAGAGCGACTCAAAACGACCCCTATCAAAAATATATCGCATTATTCAGACAACTGAAGTCGAGCATACACCACCTACATTCCAACAGAAATGGATGAGAGACCTCCATATACATATGACGGACAGAGACTGGACAGACATTATGGAAACAGGGATTAGAACCCCTATCAGTGTAGCCCGTAAAGAGACCTTTTACAAAAGAGTCACTAGATGGTACAGAACGCCAGCTATACTCCACACATTCTGGCCCACCATCAGCGACACATACTGGAGATGCTCTGGGGGTCAGGGAGACATGGAACACATCTGGTGGAGCTGCCCGGGCATAAAAACATACTGGCAGTACATACTGGATGACATAGCGGAAATTCTCGCACTGCAAGCCCGTCTGACCCCATCCCAGGTACTACTGGGCTGGCCTTGCTCCTTTAAGGAGCCACACAAACAGCAACTCCTACAGATTCTGCTCGGTGAAGCCAATGCTCTCATGCCAACGCACTGCCGCCGACCCAGTGTGCCATCCAGGGAGCAGTGGGTACGGCGGGTAGAATGTGCGAGAGAAATGGAAGAAATACACTGGTCAGTACTAGGGAGACGGCACAAATACCTTAAAACATGGGAGCCCTGGATTGAGTTTTGGAGGAGCCCCCCAGGGATGGCCTCACCCACATCCCCCTAGCCAAAGGGCGATCACCCCAACTTAGACTGGGACTGTCAAAATAGGACCATAGGAGTACCCACAAGGACCGAATTAAGCATCACCAGGCAGGACAAATATTCCCCCCCACCACCCTTCCCCCACTACCCTTCCACCCATCCAGGTTTACTCCCCTATAGGACACCCACGCCATAGTAATACATCCTCATAATGGAAATGAGATAAGCTGTAAACACCTTGCACTCTAGAACCATATCCAGTATGCCGGAACCTCACAATGAAGGTCGCCCATGCAGCCGAATAGGACGAACAGAGTTATCATTGGTATTTAACTATGTGCAATTGTATTACAATACCCTACTATGTTACATCTAAACGATCCTTCTTTTTTTTTCTATACCCCATGACCTTTACGCTTTTGAAAATAAAGAAAAATTTATATTAAAAAAATAAATAAATTATAGACTGATCATTTCTTTGTCGGTGGGCAAACGTTCAAAATCAGCAGGGGATCAAATACTTTTTTCCCTCACTGTATATATGTTCAGTGTTGGTGTTTGAATGTTGGACTGCTGCTGGTCTTTGAAAGCTAGAATGTATGCACTGCTATAGACACATATACACACCCACTGACTCAGATGTGTACACACTCTCAGGTAAACACAAACACACAGGTAGACACACTTACATGCATACAGATACACACAGATACAAATACACACTTTAACATATACAGATAAACACAGATAGATGCACACTGACACAGATACACATACTCTCAGATATAAACAGACACAGGTACACATATTATTTTTATTATTATTATTTTATTATTTATATAGCGCCATCAAATTCCATAGCGCTGTACATACATGCAGATACACACAGACACACATATTTAAATAGCAATTAACAGTGTTTTAACCCCCCGCCGGTTTCCTTACCATTTGGGTGCAGGAGGGTGGTTTCCCTGGGGGTCAGTGGCCGATAGCTGGCCAAGGCTCTTTGTGTCTGCCTGCTCCTGACTTTCCGCCTCTGTTCCTGCCATCCGACACATCCGACTCACGTCCACTCAGCAGGCTGCACTATTAAAGAGCAGCATGGACGACCCAGGCCCCTATCTAGAGTTGTCCCTCTGGCCAAATTTGTGGACTTCACAAATTTGTGCAGCTCAAATGTTTGGCAGCCATGCTGTAAGTGTTTTCTTGCTACCCTAGGTCTAGCCAAGTTTATTCACTCTTCCTCCTATATACAGTATAAGGTGTATTCAAGATACTACAAAGTGTAGTGAACTGAACTTTAAATGTCAGACTAAAAGGCAACGATAGCTTATTTGGAGAAATTATTCAACATTATAGTGAATGTGTTTGTGTCTCATACACATACATGTGTAATGTATATGATAAATATGGAGTTTTAAGGTATATGATATAAAAGTATAAAATGTGCATATTGTGTGAGGCATATCAGTGTATTTAATTCCCCTCTCCCCACAACCCTCCCAACCCCCACAACTTTAAAATGTAAAACACACCCATAGTTTTTTTAATGTTCTCAAGAATATTTATTGCACACATTTGTAAACTGTATGTTAGAAAGAGCCCCCTCAAGGCCCCATTAGAGACTACAATTGAGTCTAATGGGCCCTGGAGAGGGGTCTCTGTAACACTCTGGCCCCCATTCACAATATAGTAATTTAACATAGCTCTCTGATACCCAGCCCAAGTTGGCTCTTCTCATCTTCTCAGGCTGGGTGGAAAAACGTTGGCGAGTTCCTCCTCATATGTAATTTAAAACTCCCATCTCACTATCCATGGGTAGGGGACAGTAGCATGCTTCTCCCATATTTATTTATTTATAAGCCCCCATCCACTGCTAGTTTTTTAACCACAGCATTGCTGGGGCTTTAACTGTTACCAGTCAATGCCTGCCGGCTGTTTAACAAAGATATTGCGACCTGTGGCATGGTTGGTGGGGACATAACGAAGAAATAAACCTCCCTATAATTAGATTAAGTTCATGTTGATCTCAAATTTGCTTTTATTATTATTTTTTCTAAATTTCTTTATTTATCATCAGCTCTCCAGTGTGCGTAAGCATATAACAAAAGAGACATAGCAGTTCAAACAGTCGCCACTATAATCAGGACACTGGCGTACATATCGCAGTTGCAGGGGTCGCAGCTGCGACCAGGCCCGTCACTCCTGGGGGCCCGGCCGCCCTGCGGACCCCTGCGACCGGGTACCCACCGCTATTGTGTTGCGGCTCTGGCTCGCACAGCAAACTGCCGGGGCCGCACATGAAGGGGCCCATCAAGTGGCCCATGCTGTTAGGGCCAACCGATGGATATGGATTTTGTGATGACATCAGACAGAACTGGGAGGAAGTGACTGCCCCGGTCACTCCTCCCAGCTATCAGAGAGCAGCGCGGGAGGAAGGAGGAGGGAGTCAGAGTGGGAACTCTGACTCCCATCAGGCTGAGCCCCCACTGGACCCCAGGGGGAAGTCACCCTCCTGAAAAAGGTAAGACACAGGAGGGTGACTTAAACATTTTGTATATGTGTGTATCTGTGTATGTCTCTGTATGTATGTGTGTGTGTGTGTGTGTGTGTGTCTGTATGTATGTGTGTCTGTCTCTGTATGTATGTGTCTGTATCATACAGACACATACATACAGAGACACACACACACAGATACATAGATACAGAGACACACACACATACAGACACATACATACAGACACGCACAGACATACAGAGACACATACGTGCATGTGTCTGTATGTAAGTGTCTGTATGTGTGTGTGTCTCTCTATGTATGTGTGTGCATGTGTCTGTGTGTATGTCTGTCAGTGGTGTATGTGTGTGTGTGTCTGTAGGCATGTGTGTCTGTATGTGTGTGTCTATTGGGGGGTATATGTGTGTGTGTGTCTGTCTGTATGTATGTGTGTCTGTATGTGTGTGTGTATGTGTTTGTATGTATGTATGTATGTGTGTGTCTGTATGTATGTATGTGTCTGGGTGGGGGGCACATGGATCGGGGGGGAGGGGTTGAATGGATCAGTTTCGCCCCGGGGCCCCATGGATTGTGTGTACGCGATGAATCAGTACATTATAATACATCTCAGGTTGACTTGGCGGGGGAGCTGAGGGTTTAATGTTTGTCTCTTCTAAATCTTTCCGTGAGAAATCTCACTATGCTATCAAGATGGCAAATGTGTCATCGTTTGCGCTGTATCTTTTGTGGGTCTAAGACACAATAGAGAGTTATGTGGGCCAGCAAGTGCTAAAAGGGTAAGTGAATAGGTAACGGGACTAAGGTACATAGTTAATGTGGGATTCCAGCAAAAATATTACGTGGACTTCACGTTGTGAATGAGAAGCCTATTGTCCCATGCTGATGCAGCGCGCGTTATCGATGCACCTCAGGGTAACTGGCCCTACATTAAGTATAAGTACACCTCATGGTGTGTTATGCTTCTGCAGCGGTCTTGGAGGAGGTGGGGGTTCCGGAAGCACTAAGAGCAGGTTGGATAATCTTTTTTTATTTTATTTTTGTTCCAGGTGAGAAAAAGTTAAATAAGGGTTCCTAACATAAGTAAAACTAACATTGAACCACTGTCAACAATAGAGAGGAAGTAATAGTAAATGCAAAAGTTCCTTGTTTCAAGTAGTAGCAGCCGCATACATGTTAGTTCCTGCCCCCCTTGGTATGAACGGTACGATTTTTACTGGGTCCCATATGTTTGTCGCTGTGGTCAGTTCTAAAGAGCCCGGAACCTGCAAGGAGTCCTCTGGCAGGTTGGGTATGCTAAGCAGAGAAGCTGCTCCTCGCAGATCTAAGACAGAGTGTATGGTGCCACCTTGTATGATTTGCAGAGCCCAAGGAAAGCACCAGCAGTACTGAACCTTGTGCTGCTAGAGCAGTGTTGTTAACAGCTGAAGGGACCTCCACCATTGTAGAGTGTAACCTGACATGTCTGACTAGAAGGAGAGACTCATGTTTTCAAAGTCATAGGTGGTAGTCCCCTTGAGAGCTGTCAGTACCTCTAGGAACCGCACTACTAGGTCCCTGGGGGCCAACTCTGGCGCCCCCTGGGGCTTCAGGACCCTAAAGAATGCATCCAGGGTGATGGTCTTGGCTTGCTAAGGGCCAGTAGTGTTCCCATTAACTTCCGGGTGGGGTGTGGGAGTTCCATAGTGGGGATGTCCTTAGATACCCCTCCAACTTTCAAATGGTTGCGTCGCCACTGGTCCTCAAGCAATGCACAACGCTGTTCATACTTTGTTTGTTGCATCTTGAGTGCCAGCACTTCAGTTTGCAGTTACGCGATGGATTGTGAGTGTTTGTTGATAGAGGTCTCCACTGCCACTATGTGGCCTGTCATGTCTGTGAGATCGGTGCCAAGTTGGGGTATATCCACTTGAAGTACTCTTTGCAATTCCCCCAGCATGATCTTCAGTGTGGCCGTGTTCACAGGCCCTGCATCGCCAATCTAGAGGGCTGATTGTGGTAAGCTTGAGGGAAGCAATCCGCCTGTGTTGTCTGTCAGGCTTAAATCTTCTGAGGAGTCTGAGTAATCCTTGAGGTCGGCGGCCATCTTTGTCACACAAGTGCCGTGCTCTTGGCGAAAAAGATCGCCGATATTAACGCTCTGTCTGGGTCTGTCTGGCTTCTGTTTTTTTGTTTTTCTTCCCATGTTGGATAGGTGACTGAGGGTTGTTATTCTCGGCAACAGGGGTGAGGGATACCGTAGTTAATATAGGCGAGAAACCCATTGATTGTGCTTCTGCTCAGGCCAGTCTACAAGCCCTGCTCCCCTTGCTTTTATTATTTATTGTTCATTTTGTTTCTTTCTTGTACTGCCTAGGATTATATTGCCATTGGGCAAATCGTTAAGATATTTAAAGTTATAGCCCATCCAGGCACAGAGTTCAGCTGTCCAGTGCCAGGATAGTAGTTGATCCAGCACGCAGAATTGTGCCACACCAAGGACTAAAGGTAACGTCTTACCGGGCCTTAAAATGGCCGGACTTAACGTACCAAAGAATAGTCGGGATACTTGCCGAGGTCAGGGATACAGAGGGAGACACAACGATGAAGGAAAAGCCAAAAGTCAAAGATACCCGAAGTCAGGGAAGTCAAAACTAAGCCAAAGTCAAAAAACAGAAATAAATGCTCAGGAACACTCTCTCGAATAACCTACTAAGGGAAACCACGACAGGGCATTGAGGAAAATGAAAAAAAGAGTTTAAATAAGCCTCCTTCCAATCCGATTGGCCGTATCCGGCCTTTGACCCCAGAACATGTGTGCGCAACCTTTGCGTGACGTCACATGCATGTTGACGTTGTCAATACCGTGGGTGGACGTGGGGTTACAAATTGGAATGGATCTGCAGTGGCCGGCGGCCTTCAACATGCCGCAGGAGTCAGATACACCGGTACAGGGCTGCTGAGTGGTACTTCCGTCAATGCCAGAAAGGCATTTGTCATTACAGACACTACGAGGTGAGGATGAACATGTGACATCCAGAAGGCAAGTCATACCCATATCCTGGATGCCACCAATTTCTCGTACACAGTAACTTTTTCATTTTTTTTTTTTTTTGGCAGAATCACCATATTTTACAAAATGAGGAATATAAATACAATACAAAATACAATGAATACAAAACTGAATTCCTAACACTTTATCACCGTGTTGAATTTACAGATTTCAAAGTAAATTAAAGCTCAATCTCCAACATTGCATATACATTTTGACCCAAATGCAATTTCTTTTTAAATTCACTAAAATTAAGTGTTTCCTGGATAAACCACCTATGTATATTCATTAAGAAAATACATTTGGGTGAATTCAAATGTCTGATGTTTTGTCCTAAATTTTGCTACTTGGTTTTCATTTTTGCCAAAATTTCCAGTCTAATGAATAGCCCTTAACCCTTTAACATTTTTAAAACCCTAGCCTAAGGGTTACTTTCTGTAATGTTGGAAATTCATCAGGGAATTGCAAATTCTGGTCTAAAATTTGAAATTCACTTTTCAATTATGCCATAGATCTCTTGATTCCGTGATAATCCAGTATTTTGTCATGCCACCACAAGTTTAACATTTCTAACTGCTTGGGTTTTGCTGTGACTATATTAGAGTTGGGGAATTTTCTAGATCTGCTATTTAGCTTAAATGTTGCCGTTCATCGTTTAATTTTGTCGCAGCGCATTGCTTAGTGAATAACCCTCTAACTTTCTAAGCAAATCTTCATGACACCAGGTTTAATGTCAGCCTAAACATTCTGACGTTTCAGAACACTCTAATAATAAACAAAATAAATAATTCCTCTCATAAATAAATTAGGTGAGAGACTGAAGGGCAGTAAATGAGGATTACACTGTTTGTCTTTGGCCAGTCTGAGTAAAAAAGTGTCTCCCCCTCCCCCTCTCTTTTAAGACAGCCCCTGTCCTATCCTGCCTGCGCTGTGTGCCGCGGAGTGCGCTTTGCAGACGGTCCCTGGCTGGGGTGTGTGTTGTGTATTGGCAGCGGGGCGGCTCCGACTCCCTGACGCCAGTGAGACCAGATCAATCCAGGCAGCCGGGGAGAGAGGAGGAGGAGGGAGCCTCACATCCCGGGCTGCTGCGAGGCATGCGAGCCTCTGGCTACATTGTTACCGAGAGACATTCTACAGCCCTGTAACAAGCGCTAACCTTCTACCCGCTGCCAGGTAAACCTCCTGGGACAGACCAGCTCTGTAAACGAGTCCTCTCTCTTAGCATGTTCCCTTCACCACCACCCCCCGTCCCCGTCCCACAGGGTCACCGGCCTTTAGTCGCCCTGTCTAACTGGCCCCTTAAAGTTTCTGTGCTCTTTGTAACTTTGGGGGATTTGGTTGTTCCGTAGTGGTGTTTGGAATGTTTCGTTGTTTAGTTGGGTTGTTGGGATTCCATACTTTTCTAAAGCCATGAGATTCGCCCCACCATGTCTGTCTCCCTCTCTTGGACTCACATGGGGCCCCTTCAGGGTACATGGGATCTGTGGCACAATGCGCCCTGTAATCTATTCCTGGGATTTAGTTTAATGGCCGGGTAGTTGGTATGTGAGGAGCAGCCCCGGGATGGTGGGGAATTCGCCTCCTGTGGATGGGTGGAAGGGAGGGGGGGCAGCGATGGCGCCTGTACTGCACACAAAGTGCCTGTGTGAAAGTTTTCTGCCTGATCCCTAGTGCTGGAACCAGGCGGGATCGCCTTCCTACACTCTTCAAATGCTTTTCATGGTTCTACTTTTTTTTGAGAGAATTTTTTTTCCATATCCTGGATGCCACCAATTTCTCGTACACAGTAACTTTTTAAATTTTTTTTTAGCAGATTCACCATATTTTACAAAATGAGTAATATATATATATATATTCTCCCGTATCGTGGTGAATATTTTTCTTTTCATATGTTTTAGCACTTCCATTTAACTTAAAACACTCGCGATTTAAATAGTGTAGTTATGATTGTCCCGTCTTCTGTGTTTTTCTGTTTTTTGTTTTTTTTTTTTTATTTCTATTTCTAGTTTACAAAGTTGGATTTCTTAATTGTGTTCCTCTTTGGCCATGTAGAATCAAAAGCGACAAAATAACAAGGTGGCTTCTTAAGCTTGCTTCCAGGAGGTAACAATACAAGAGTTTGAGTTTTCCATGTGTAAGCCAATTGCATCAGTCAGGAAGCTTTTTAAGGTGTTCCTTGGGGGATATGTTTCAAGACTCTTTGGCTGCTGGATCGCTGGTTACTGTGGAAATCATTTCAAGCCTTTAGCTTTGAAAGGTTGTAGCCCTATCCTTGTCTGGTAATTCTGAGCCTTTCACTATGTCTCCAGAGGATTGGTTAAAGGCAGGATCAAATTACCTCTGAGGGCACTGGGCTGTCCTTACTGAGATTTCTGACCTCTGATAGCTACACATGCAATTGTTTGTGTAATTCTGTGCATAAATGTATAATACAGTTAATCTTATTTGTTTCCTCTACATTCAAGGATTGTCTAACATCTCTGGGACCCTTACTTGGTTGCTTTCTGTGCAATAATTACATTGCCTCATTGTAGATGACAGCTTGAATTTCATGTTGATCCTATGTATGTAGTTCTAAAAACTATATGCTTTAATTTTTTAGGAACATTATTGTTAAACCCAGCACCCAGGCTCTCCACTTTCATATTTATTGATTCAGCCTCATCACCCCGTGTTACCGCATTTCATTTTTTTGTTGGGCAGTGACAAATCTGCGACTAAGAAGCTTCAAATTTGTGTATTACTCATTCTCTTTAAAACCAATTAACTTTAAACATGGATAATGCAGAGTTGATTGGTAGAAAAACACAATTGGTTAAATTTCTGACTTGTTTATAAACCACAATTAACCCATTTTCTATCATTTTGGTTTTTTTTTTTTGTAATTTTTTTTTTTTATATATATATAAACATTTGCAATGCAGTACTCCTTGTCACGTGAATTCTGGTAGCAGAGAGGCTAGACTTTAAGTGATGTCTGGCTATCAGTTTGCAGTGTTCACTTTATAGAAGTTTATTTTAACAAGGAAAAGCAGTTCTTATTTAGTTTTAACCCCTTAAGGACCAAGCTTCTGGAATAAAAGGGAATCATGACATGTCACACATGTCATGTGTCCTTAAGGGGTTAAACTATAAAGTACATTTGTTTCCCGACTGTTAATTTTTGCATGTATATTTGTGCATTAAAAGAACAATACACTTTAACTTTTAATTTTTTAATCCAGTGGTTCTAGAATAAAGACTGGATGCCCCTTCCCCCAACTGTTGTTCAGCAGCAATTTCTGTGTTAGTCTGTTATTCTTCTCAGATTAGGAATTCAATTAGTTCTTCCTGTTACAATCCACATGGATTTATGATGAAGTCAGAGAGGACACACTGTATCATACTAAAAATTTTTCTTTTCCTTTTTTTTTTATTTTTTTATTGGGTGGATCAGTTTGTTACATTAGGCAAGAGATTCTCACACTTTAAACAATAAGATATTGCTGACCTGTTCAAAAGCCAAATACAGTTTAACAACAATATGTGTAAACCTTTGTGTCTGTAGAAAATTTAAATGTCTGTTAGGCTTTGCTATGGTTGTGTTATACTACTGCCACCACATTCCTAGCATCTTCAAGACCAAACGTGTTTTGTTTTTTTTTCTTTTTTTTTCTTTATTAATCTAGACTGTTTGTGTGACTAAGGCCTTTGGCTGTTGGAACTCATTTAGGATTTAGCCTGCTAACTGCAATGGAACCCTTAATGCAAATAACGTTTCATTGAGTCTAGCTGAGCATCATGCAATTTTTAGTTTGAGAATTGTAACACTGCAGTTTTTTTGTATCAGTGAACCAAAGCATTTTTGTTTGTTCAATTAATCATACCCTACAAATCTACCAGGTTTCTCATCACCTTTTGTTTCTGTTTACTTTAATTTGTCATTAACTTGTTTTTTTGGTTTTGTTTTTTTATCTACTTGTTTTACAGCAAGTTGGTATGTGCTGGTGCATTTATAACTATGGTTTCATTTGTAGAAACAGGCTTCTCGGCGCATTTTTAAAATGCATATGGAAGCTCTTCTGTTAACCAGGTTATATACCCATTAATGAGTTACTTGAGGTATTGTTTACAGTGTTTTTGGTTTGTTACTTGTGTAAATGGGAAAAATAATTTTATAGCTGCAATTAATTTTTATATCTATATACTATAAAATCCACTGATATTATGGTTTAGAGTGAGGCATGGCTTCTGTGAGATTCTGCCAATGTATTATAATTTTTTTTTTTTTAGTCAGGTGTGTGTGTGTGTGTATGTATATGTGTGTATGTATGTATGTATGTATATATATATATATATATATATATATATATATATATATATATATATATATATATATATATTTCACATGACTTCCACAGTTTGTTTTTAAAGCTATATTATATATGCTTAATAAATAACTGCACGAATGGTTATCAGAATATTTTAGTATTTTGATTTATAAACTCGTGTCAGTGACTCTTGAAATTTTAGCTACAAATGCTTTATTCATTAGAAGTTTGATGGTTCAGTATCTATTTTTGATTAGGACATTCAAGTTACATTTATCTGTGGTTTGTTGTACAAATGCTTTGAAAGGTCATTGAGTGTTTCCAGGATTCAGCTCCTTGTTTCAGGGAAGAGGGTTAGCTTTCAAAGGGAGCTTGGAATGGAGTTAAGATCAATGAACAGGTGATCCTTGGAGGGGAAAGTGATTTGTTGATGTATACATTCTTCAGTTCTCAATACTAGGTGTGTGACTTTAATAGTGCACTCATTTCACCCAAAGTTTAAGTAGAATGTGAAGGTTATTTGCATCCTGTGAATGGAATTGAAAGGTGTAATAGTTCTTTCAGTGTGAATTAACAAAAAATAATTGTTTATTAAGTGAAACACGTGTCCATATGACTGAACTTCTCCTTTGACACAAAATGTGAGGTCCCCTGCTTGATGACAAATTAGGCAAATGGTTGGTTGCCTCTTAATAAACAAAAATGAGAGGGAGGGTGCAGTGAGACCCCTGTCTCAAAGTGCGTGTATATATATCATATTTGTTTATTGTTGCTATCTTTTTATCACAAATGTAGCTAACTAAATGTATTTGAGCTGTACAAACGTAGGCTATGATTACGTTGCTATATCGGAGTTTCTATTAAAATCAATGCGAACTGGTTGAAATCCTGCAACTATCTGCTGCATGTGATGTTTAGGCATGTATAATTTGGGTACGCAATCATAAATAATTAGTATACATGTGCATCAAATGTCTTTCCAGTAAATAATTCTGTTGCATGAAACTAAAGGCTCCCAACTATGCTGTGCATTGCTGTTTTGTGTACTGATCAAAATACTTCTTAACCCCATAGTTGGAAGTACCTTTTTAATGTGCATAGTGTGCAACATGTTCATAGCCTTTGCTTTCTATATTCTAGAATGGTTACTGGTTTTCTTGTATATTATTTCCCGTCGCAGCACCTTCTATAAAGGGCATGTGGTTATGTGTTTAACCTTTTTGATGCTTGAGCAGTGCATGAAAGGGTGTCCATCTGTGTAGACTTATTAGCTAATGGAGGGCTCATCCAGCCCTTATAAATAATGTAAGCTATGTCTAATGGAGAGCCTCTCGGGAGAGGGAGAAAGCATCATTACCAGGCTTCTCAAGCTGCTTCAGATCTCAGATTGATTTACAGAACTGATCTGGTGCAAAATGATACATCAGGGCAACATAGGGTCATCCAGGCAAAGTGTATGATGTGAGCCTATTAGTTCAGTAATAATGATTAAACCATATTAAAAAGCCAGCTGAACAGCGAACTGTGGCATAATGCATTACCCATTGACAGGTCTCTGATACAGGCAAATGCTATTAGGAATCCTTGGCTATTTGCAAATAGGATCTATATTTTATTTTTGTTAACTAGGTTACAGGTGAACAATAGTCGGGAATGTACATAAAAGTGAATTGAAACATTTCAGCCCAGGGTAGCTGAACTTGATTCATAATTGACTTGGATACTTCTACAGTTTGGCTTTTTTGGCCCTAAATTTGAAATAAGTAACCCTGTACTGCGTGCATGTCTCTGGGTCACTTGTTTAGATATGCATCAAAATGTTGCACATGGCATTTGCTTGATTACGTTTTGGGCTTCTTTTAATAGGGTGCACTTTTTTTTTTTTTTTGTAATATAACATTAAAATTCTGCATTCACTCTGAAAAGGACAACTGTCTCATTCAAAGGCAAAGTCTGCAGACAGAAAAAGCATTCCTTTTTAACTGCTTTTTCTGTCAGTGGGTGGGACACTGATCCAGTCCGTAAGGTGGGATACTGATCCAGCCAATTGGTGTTCTACCCCTAGGTATCATGAAAAATAGAATTGCATGACATGCTTGCACATGTGTAAAATGGAAGTCCTTGCTAAATAATCAGTAACACCGCGAGATTCATGACATGCGCATTGTGCGGGTTTAAAGCCTGCATTTTTAAAATTTTATTTTAATTTTTTTTTTTTTTTTTTCAGCACTGGCATCAGTATAGATAACTGTTCCATTCGCCTGACCCTGAGTAGGTATATCTGATAGGTCACATAGCAAAAAAGCATTGATGGGCCCTGGCTATATCTTATTTATTTTAAAGACAAATGTTCATAGAGAAACACAGGAGAGGCAGTCATTGGTAGGATCAATCTGAATTGTGGCCATGTTTGGTTCATAAAGATCCTTTCTATATGTAAAGTCTAAACACATATACTGACCCTCTCAACTCTGTCAAAATTCAGGCCCCCACACCTTCACCCAATCACTCGCCCCACATGGCCACCCTGTCAGTCACTCTCTCACAATTAAACTCATACACAACACTGCCTCTCCATAAACGCAACACATCAAGACCACAAGCAGCACGCATACGTTGCAAAGACCTACCGATGCTCACAGACACATGTGCAGTCGCAGATCAACAAGGATCCTCCCTGCCAGACACACTCTCAAGCACATACACGATGCTGTGTACAGATACTATACAAACGAAGTCAGCGTGTGTGATATATAATATAAATCATATATCACATTTGTTGTTACTTGCTTTTTCTTTTCTGTATGCAGAGAATCTTTGTCTTTCTTTACCTTAGTCTCAGGAGAATGCATATGGTTTCTTATGCAAGGTTAGTGCCGGTTCAGGTGAAACGGAGGTGGGTCGATTTTAGTGAGTCAGTAACAGGTGGAGGGAGAAGGCTTTAGAAACTCCCCTATCAGACAACGTGTGCCAGAGAAAGTAAACACAACATATAGTAAGTTTATAAACGCTTATTGTAAATGATCCATGCTTTATTTTAGTTTGTATATTTCTAGAAGTGTTTTGCTGGGTAATTTTTATTTTTTTTAATTTTATTATAATAAATGTGCATGCCCCTTAAAGATTTAAGGCAGAGCTATTGAAGCTAACAGTTTATTGGAGACAGTTGACTGGGGATTGATGAATGTAATGTCTGTTCCAGGAAGCAGGAATGCTTTGAAATGGTGATGGTTACAAAGTAGAACCTTTAAATTTATAAGCTTTCCCAAGCAGTGCTGTATTTATTGCCATACATTTGTTTGCCCTCACCCTTTAGTATGGTACTGTGGAATGTAGTTGGTAATTTAGGAGTGTCATTGTAACGTATACATTGGCAAGAAACCTTATGATCCAGAAGTGTAAAAGTGGGTGACGTTAATTGTTGATGTACTTGTAATAGCAAGAGAAGACAATTTCTGTTACAAATATATTCTTGCCCATATGTATCTGAAACAAAACCCTGTGGGATCCTGACCCCTTTTACAGACAAACTTTGAATTTCTTAAAGCTTGTAGTATATTTAAATTTATAGGCCTCTGTAGTATCAATATTTTTAGGAGCGAATTTTCCATGGTTTGTAGATTGTGCCACTTTTGTAACACTTTCGGGAAGGCGGGCACTAAAATGTCTTCAGAGTTGCATCAACTGTCATCACCATGTGGATTTTATTTTTTCAAACAAAAGAACAAATAATTGAGACTTTCGTTGGAATTTACACTTAATTGGCAGCAAAAGACTACTAAACCAAGATGACCTTGCGTGGTGTGGTGCTAGCAATATACTTATGATCTGTTTGTTAGAGGACTGCTGTTTAAAGAGAAACTGGCAATTCTCATGATTTTTTTAATGTTTACTTATCCCTGTATAAAACCACTCCACACCTATAAAGCACTTTAGCTTACTGATGTGCTTTATGTCTGAATATCCAATTTTAAAGCTAGTTTATGAAAATGACGATTTCTTTGAGAAGAATGCTTTCTTCATCTTTGTGTTCGCTCCACCGAGCTAAACCTTTTATTTTTTGCAAAATTCAGAAAAGTGACAGTTTAACCTTCTATAAAAATAATCAAATCCAGCATAGACCGACAAACATGACAAAGACATAACCATTAGGGATATTTGTTTGGAAGCAATAAAAGAAATGGCACACCTTCAATATAACACTGGTTTTGTAATATTTTATTGCCATAGTTGCAAGATCTCCCACTGATTTATGTATACATCAGAGCTCAAAATTTCTTCTAGTTTAGCCATTGAAGAGTGAAAATTCTGTGAAATTCACTCTTGGTGAGTGCAACAAGCTTGCATTGGGAAGTCCTTTTTGAGCCTAGTCAGTAGCACAGAACCAATAGTTTAAGCTCTGGTAAATCTCTATAGGGAAATCATTCCTTCATAGTGTTACTTGTATGCCATAGCATATATGCACATATTGTATTGCACACATTTCATAGTTTATTACTTTTTCACAATTTGATTTTGGTGGGGACTGATTATCTGATATGACTGTGAAATAGAACCCCGGAACGATTTTGCTTGAGCTGCAAGAAAGCAACTCTCCTTTGATCTCTTATAGGGTTAATTCTGTTGAGTATTCTAGAGATAAAATCTATATTTGCAATGCGAGGGGGTGAAATAATGTCCAATAAAGGTTGAATATATACCACAATAGTTAATAATGCAAGGTTTTTCTTGTAGTTTCTACCAGGAAACAGATATTTCCAAACAGGCCTTGATGTCCCTTATGACTAGTGTGCCAGCAATATCCGTTTCCTTTAGCTGGATGGTTCCAGAATATTCTGTATATGCAGCTTTTTAAGGGATGCTGCGCATTTGTCAGGAAACTTTCTAGTCTGTTTCATCTTCCTAGGTGGGACATTTTACCAATGTACGGTATACAAATTTTTTTTAAATTATTTTTGGGGGGGGGGTAATCTTTATAGATGCATAGTTACGTATTTGTCTAGGTTCTAAAAAGACTAAAGTACATCAAGTTCAACCTTGAAACCCATTCTGTTATGCTGTTGATTCAAAAGAAGGTAACAAAAAAACAACTAATTGTAGTAATTTCCAATTATGCCATAGAAAGGGAAAATCCTTCTTGACTCCATAATGACAATCTGATTTTGTTCTTCGATCAACAACCTGTTTACATAAATATGGATTATATCCTTAAAGGGACACTATATTCAACAGAACTACAGCTTAATTTGGTTGTACTGGTGAGTATAGTCATTGCCTTCAGGCTTTTTGCTGTAAACACTGCCTTTCATAGAAAAGGCAGTGTTTACATTACCCCCTAGGGACACCTCCAGTTGCCATTCCTGAGATGGTTACTAGAGGTGCTTCCTGGGGCAGCACTGCCATTCAGCGTCTCCCCGCTCTGAACGGAGACGCTGAATTTTCCTGGAAGAAATGCACTGATTCAATGCAACTCCGAGGTGCTGATTGATCAAGCCGTTTGGGCCATCACGCATGCTTGCTGATTTCAGCCAATCCAATTTCCCATGTGTGAAAGCATTAGATTGACTAAAAATCGTAAAGTCTAATGTCACCAAGGAGGCATATCAAAGGCGTTGCTAGCATTGGCGGACCTGCAGGGCACTGAAAACAAGGTAAGTTTTAACCCTATCAAAGGGAAGGGGGAGTCAGCCTAAATGGTGTTTTTAGCACTATAGGGTTTGTGTTCCTGACCCTTTAGTGTTCCTTTAAATATTCTGTTTAGCAAAAAAAAGCATCCGAACCTCATTTAAAATCATTTGTGTTGTTAATTAAGCAGTTGGTAAACATATGCACTTTATTTTTTTTCATAAATTTTGTGAGAAGTTGCCGTATCTCTTAACTCCACTTTCAATATTTTTTTTTTTTTTTAAATGAATTGTTTTAGTTCGCAGATAAGCAAGCGAGTGTGGTTTTTTTTTTTTTGGTTTTTTTTTGTACTATCCTGGTGTCAGACGCAGTCTAAGTATGTGTGCGATCAGATTGCACATTGTCTTTGGTAGTGTGCATAAATACCTCACGTTGTTGGCACCTACCACCTCCTCTCGCAGTTTTGCCGACTTGTCTTCACTGGGTGTCTATGCGAACCCTTCTCTGCATATTTTGTTTTGATGGAGTCAAACTCTTTAACCACTCCTTTGGATCCTTATGTCATTCCAGGATTGATAATTCCTTAGTTGTGGTATGTAAGGCACTGGAGCCACCCACACTTTTAGCAGTTCATGATTACGAATAATGTTTTTAATGGAACTTGGACCATTCCATCTCAATGAAGTGGACTTTTTGTGTAGTGGCCTTTTAGGGAGGCTGAGCAGCCTTTAAAATCCTCAGAAGGGGACAAACCTAAATAGGAAGGGAACACTAATATAGCATTAAGAAGAAAATGTGTGGGTGTATATGTATAATTGTGTGTGTGTGTGTTCTTAATTTAATAGTGATGGTGTAGCAAAAGCTTTCTTTGCCCTCTAGAAGAAAGTTTCCTTCAACATTTAAAAGGACGTCACCCATGTGCTTAATGGAACACTATAGTGTTGGGAATACAAACCTGTATTTATAAACTCTATTATGTCCCTCTGCTGCTCTCTGCCCCATGTAAAGGATTAAATAAATAATACTTTAAACCAGTGTTCACCAACAGTCCTGGTTTTGTCGGTGTCTCCTTTGGAATAAAACCAAGAAATGCATAAATCCTGTTGGTGTTCCACGCGGACTGGGTTGGGGAACACTGCTTTAAACACTTAACTGATTCTAGAGGTGAGGTCTCCCAATGCTAGGTTGAGCTTCTCTTCTGACATCAGTCAATGGGGTGAACCTAATATGCATGCGCCGCTCATGCATTAGGCTTTTCCCATAGGAATGCATTAATTCTGTGTTCTTCTATGGGGTTTTTCCACACGTGAGGATGCCCAGCATTGTTTCACAGAGTCAAATTTTGTTAAACTGCAGGAAGCGCCTCTATTGGCTCTGATAAATCGCGCTTTGCAATATTATAAATGGAAATTTTAGCAATAAATAAGACTGTTACAAAATTTTACAGAAACAGTTGGTTGAAGAGGATCCTGCTGAAACGATCTTACAATCTATAGGATTTATGAACAATTAAGCACACCCGCTACAGTATTATTGGGCATAGGGTTTATGAATTGAGGTGTGTCAGGAAACCAGTGCTTGTCAAACCCCTGGAGGAATGGCAAATATAATTATGTGGCGTTTATTTAGAGCATATATGCATGTGTCTTTCCTAGAGTTTTAAAGAGACATTGCATGCTGACATTTTAAGTTAACACAGATATTGAGCTGCATATGCAACCAAGCCGCATCTAATGATACAGCAGCCATCGTCGCAGAGGAAGGAGTGAACTTCTTCTAGAAAGTAAATCTTTCAATCTAATCACAGCATAATTTATAGATGAACTGTATTTGATAGTTCTTTTAATATCCATAGTTTATGGATGACGTAGTCCACTTGAAGTGTCATGTATGTTAGCAGCATTTAATTGAACAGTTTGACTCTGTCCTAGAGGCAGAAGCGCCTCTAGTCCTCTAGTGCCTGTTTTCCTGACAGCCACTAAAGTTCTAGTTGACTTCAATGTTTTACACTGAAGGGTTAAAACAGGACTGCTGCATCCAGACAACTCATGGAGGTAATGTTGTCTGGGTACCTTTAGTGGTCCTTTAAATAACTTACCACAGTTAAAAGTTCTCATCAGAACTGCTTCCTCTTACACATGAGCCCTTGCCGCTAGATACCTGCCAGTTACAAAAATCTGATATAAGGATCCCCATCTCTCACCGCATTTACGGTCCTTCCCAGAACTGTCCCATATCTCTCCTCAGAATGTTCATATATATATCTGTGGGAAAAGCAAGTCTTATGGCTTGACTGGTGTGCAGATTTTTGTTTAGCATTGTATTAACTATCCACAAACTTCAGGTGGAAGGGGTTTTCAATCACAATTTTTCCACACCATAACCTATTTGAATTTTGCTTCCCAAGCACTACCAAGCCTCACTAAGCAAACCAGTAACCAACCTCATGCTGAAGAGTTGCATTAACAACGAAACAGCTGTCCATGAGTGGTTCACTGGTTTTTCATCTTATCCTAAATTGTGTTCCAAGCAGTTGTATACTGCAAACACAAATTAAAAGGAATCCATGTTTAAAATGGAATGAGGCAAAAATGTGATTCTTTGTTAAACTAATTTGCATATACCCACCCAGAATCCTTTGCGGTTGTAACATCACTGCTGATTTGGGATTTCTGTGGGAAAAGCAAGTCTTATGGCTTGACTGGTGTGCAGATTTTTGTTTAGCATTGTATAAAAAAAAAAAAATATATATATATTTTTTTTTTTTAAGGATATAAGAGGTTTGCATATTATTTCTATGAAATGTTTTTCCTCTGAACTAGTTGACCCATTCTTTTCTCAACCTATATTTGTCTTTCACAAACTTATCTGTACCTGTTATTTTACAGAATAGCTTGTAAGCTTGATGGCCAAGAACTCAAAATCTTCAGTTTCTGCATTTGGTTGACCTTTTCTTCACTCTTTCTTTAATCTGTAAAACTCTGCAGAAGGCTTTTGTGCTATGTCCATGCTAAAATAAACTAGTAGCATAAAAGTATCCACTTCTTTTTGCAATACGAAAGAGCAGATAAAAAAATTTGCCAGGCTGCACGTCACACTTTGGTTTTTTTTTTTTTTCAAAGAAGGTGGAGCTGGGAAGAGTGGGGGTTGATGGCTAAATGCTTACAGAGTGTGTGTATGCTGGACATCCTGCAATAAATCACTAGCCCTTTTTCTTTTTAACACTAAATAGACAATGTAGGCCATTGGTAGCAGTGTATGCGGTTCTCTACCCTCAGGCGTTCAGCAATAAAAGATACTACTTTTTACATAAAACAATCCTTGCCCTTATGGCGCTTGCTTTTTTCTTTTTTTTTTTTTTTTATCGAAGATAATGTAGATGTTCACCAGGATTATTATTTTTTTTTATTTACTTTTCAGAAATTCGCTTTGTCAAATAATAGATCAGCTTGAAGACCTGTTAACTGTTATATACTTTAAAGGGACACGAAAGTATAGGCACAAAAATAATTTTAACTTAATATAGCAGTTTAGGTGTTATATTCCATGCCTCTGCAGTCTCACTGCTCAATTCTCTGCCATATGAAGTTAAATCACTTTTTTATTTATTTTTTCTCTTTGGAGCCTTAGCCACACCTTTTCTGGCAGTGACTCAAACTGCCACCATGGAATGGTTTCCAATCTACTTACCATTACTTTTTAGATGGGTTTTATCTACTGCTCTGTTAATTGAACTTAAATTGCACATAGGAGGCTTCTGTAGAAGACCATTAACAGAGCAAAAGGTAAGACATTTTAAATACAATATTTGATAAAGTTAAAAAGTTATCTCTTTACAGGAAGTGTATGTGGAGGCAGCGTAAGTCACAGCCTGTGGAGGCGTGGCTATGGTGACATAAACCATACTTAATTCTTAAATAGCAGGGAATCAAGCACTTAGACTGCAGGGGCATAATCTTAAGAACAAACTGCTTCATTTAGCTAATTTGTTTTGGTGTTCTTCTAGTCTAATATGATTTGCGTGAGTGAAAATGTAGAAACAGGGAGTAGAAGTTCACTCCTGCAGAGTGTTCAATGGACTCTCCAAGCTTGCAAAGGAGAGTAAAATTTAAGGCCTGGCTAGTAATATGACTTCAAACTGTATTATCTAACCCTGCAATTGGAAGCAGTTTATTTAACGGCACAAATCTGTTTCACTTTAACACTTCCCAGGTAAATCCGGTACAGATCGATTTTTGTTTAAGCTTAGTTTAACATTAATATTTAAGCTAATGTTTTACTAATGGTGCACGTTAAGTCTTTCTGTTGGTGATGGTTGTTTGCAACAGAGACCTATATAAAACACCCCCTCCACTGTGGCACTCCTTGCATCATTTTCCAACGATTCCCTACACATGCACGTGCACACACACTAAAAGCCCACATACAGGAAATCAAATGGTCAGTTTGAAAAGAGATGGCATAACTTTATCATGCAAGTTCAGTTCCGAGAATTGTTTCACCTATCCAATCTCTGTGAGCTTCTTCAGCATGCAATGTATTGGAAGAAGTAGTAGTCCAATAGTGACCTTTTCAATCTTGGGCACTGATGCAAACCCAGATAGTGATCGCACTAATCTTCAGGGGAAATGGAGAATTTCCCGTAACAAAAATCCATAAATGTAATCTGAAATTTAATATGAAAGATTACCTCTTATATATCTATCCAGAGTCATTTGCAGTCTTCCAGATTACCACTAGAGGCGCTTTCGCTGCATTGATAGAGTAAAACTGTCACATGACACAGAAGCTCATAGCAAAGCACTAAATTTAATGCTTTCCTATTTGAAGCATTGAAAGAGCGCACATATCACTCACTGTGAATACCAATCAGGTCCCTGCCCTGATGCTCTTTAAAGAACATATGATTGGACCATACCTCCTCAATAATGTCTTGGGAGTCAGAGAGGTGAGCTGCGCCGAGAGCGTTTTAGCGCTGGAAAAAGGTAATGTTTAAAAAATTTTTATATATATACTCACACACACACTGCTGGATGAGGGAGGTGGGTTTTACTAGGGGGCCATACATCTAGTGATGGGAATAGGTGTTTTTATATGATCCATAAATATGGGAGTGTGGTGTGAGGGTTTTTTTTTTTTTTTTTAAATCATCCTATACGTATTGTCCCATAAGTGCGCTCTTGTCTAGATGATTCCGTGGTGCTGTAATAAATCTAAGTTAGGGTAACAATTTTTGTTTCTCAAGTGGCAGTTTCCTCATGAAAAGGAAGACTGAGAGGATGTTAGTGTATCTATTGATCGAGTTATGTCCTATTTAACTCATTCATGCAGTTATAAGCGGAAAGCGTCTGCAGTGGGAAACTTGTTTTCATACTACTATACCATACATAGACCAGAAATCTACATTGTTTAACTGTCCTATCTCTACACATCTGCATCAGATTGTTTACATAAGAATTCCATTTGTGTATTATCATTTTTATACTTGGCTTGTACACTTCCAAAGCTTGCATGGAGCTAGAATTGTCCTGTACTAAACAGACCCTTCCATAAATTAAAGATTCTCCTCCACCCTTTCTTTCCTGCACATTATGTACACACATCCCTCCCAGCTCCCCCTGACTTTTTGAACCATCCCTGGAAAACAGGTGGTGTTTTTACCAAAAGGCACATCTGTGTGGGTGTGTGGAGCAGCACAAAAGCAGGATAGCCACTATATATAGATCTGTCTACTCAGCTCTAATTGCATAATTTAATCACAGTCCTCTGCAACGGAAACGCATCCATACTCCTTGCAGGCATCAAAGGAAACATCTTTCCAAGTCGTATCCTTTTGCAGACTAGCACACAACTCTATACCACACACCCAATTGTTGAATCCCTCCGCTGGGAAAGATAAGGAATTTCATTCTTTTGTGTCGCTTAAACAAGCACTTCCTCCTGTATTTAGCTTGGGTGTTGTGGTGGTTCTTCACAGGTGATCTGGACAGTGGCCAGCTTCTTCTTGCAGATTTGAAGTATTTTTATTTTATTTTTTTTCTCCCTTTTTTTTTTTTTCTCCCTCTGACAGTTTATAGACCTATATGAAGAATTTTTATTTTTTTTAACAGTCAGCAGTGTAGTTGGAGTTGTTTGTGTTTCTTTTGTTGGCTTGAAGATTATAAGTTTTTTTTTTTTCTTTCAATGCTAAACTTAAGGGTGTACAAATGTTTATCTTGGTATGGGCCTAGGTAGCATTAGCTTGAATTGAAAGGGTAAGTCTTTCACTTCGCTTCATGATGACTTGAAGTGCTCATGGTGAGAGGAACATGTGTATGCTTGAAACCTGCATATACTGAGATTTGTCTCCCATGCTGCTCCTTGAATCCCTCCTTTGCATATTGTTTGTGCTTTTATTTATTTTTTACTAATACAATCCTCTCATTCCTTGTTTGCCCAGAGCTCATGAGTGCATTCTGAGCCAATGGTATGGTCCAATCACAGGCATAATAATGAGAAGCCTGTGATTGGACCGCGTAGCCCCTCTGAAGTCCGAGAGGGCATGGAAGATTGGAAGTTTTTATTTTTTTTAAATCAATTTATCTTGAGCTTTGAAATCTTCATTGGGGAAGCCTTAAAGGGACCCTCAAATACACAAACAAAAGCAAATCAGCTTAGTTGAAATATTTCAATGGAAACATGCATGCATAAGGAATACTATAGTTAACCAGACCACTCCATCACAATGAAGTGTTCTGGGAGCACTGTCCCTGTTTTTAGTTTTGTTTTAGTTATTTTTGAACTGCAATATTTTCATTGTAGAGTAAAGGAACACTCCAGACCCTTAAACAACTTTAGCTTGCTGGATTGCTGCTTTATTTGTGACTTTTTATTTTTTTTTTCATTTAGCAAAAAGTGCAGATTTCAATATAAATGTTCACTTTTTTTTTTTTTTTATAAATTAACCTGGTTACATCCCTTTTGGCTTTCAAGCTAACAGATCATGTTACTTCCTGGTTTTATTCGCTCAGTGGAGCTAAACTTAAGAGGCAGCAATTGCCCAGAGCACCTGCTTTTCAAAGACTTCTCATTGATCTACAATGAGTCTGTGCTCGGACAGCTGCAGGAAGTCTGGGTTGGGTTTGGAGAGGGCTTGCAAAAGCAGGCATTTTTTTGCAAGCGGTTTTTAGCTATACCCCCAATGAAAAAATACAGAATTAAACGCGTGAATGTTTTAAGTTGGGGTATATCTAGTAAATAGTGATCTAGCATGACATGGAAGCCCCCAAAGGAAAGCATTATGTCCCTTTTGAGGAGCATTGAATTGGACCATGGTGAAGGTGGCCATGCCTCTTCAGTGGTATCTTAGTTGTAGGAAAGCTAAACAATGCAGAGGTAGCCTCTGCTCTGGATCAAGGTGGGGTGGGACACTCCTGATACCACAAGGTACAGGAACACTAACATTTGGTATACAGACTGTATTCCTAACTCTATAAAGCTCCTTAGGGTAGGCATCATGGTAGCCGAAGTTAAACCGCATTTGGAGATTGCTTTTGGCTATTTTATCACAAACACCATAAGGTCTTACAGTGGCTCAGTTGACTGTGGTAAATGCTGATTCCTTCTTTCAAAAAGCTGTACTGAGGATGATTTAGCATGTTGTTTAATAAGGACCAATGGCTTTCTAAATAGTCTGTACAATCCGGGTCTTGCAGGCCCCCTGTGCCTACAGAGCTGTGGAGTCGAAAGCAAGTTGTGTTTTGCTAAAATTAGGTAATGGAGTCAAATTTTTATTACCTGTGCATTATTGATAAACTTTGTTTTTTGTTTTTTTTATTACAGTATATATTGCCTCTGTAGTCTTAAACAGCTGTGGAAGTGTAGTTATTAGTGCTGTTACTTTCTTGATGTATCTCTGCCCTTATGTATCCAATCCTCAATAACACCTTCAACAGCTGTGAATGCCCCTCTTCTCCCTTTTTAAATTGATTGTACAAAAGCACTGACTGTCAGCTGAATACCAGCTGTTTTGCTTGTTCACTTTTGAGAAAGACTTCATTGTTGAACAATTTCTTATTTTGCCTCGGTGAAGTTTATGCACCTGGATGATTCACGGACTGTGCTGTGCTGGTATCTTAATCTGAAAAGGAAACCTGTTTGAGTGGCATCTTTCTATAACACACTTTTGATGCAGGCATGGCTTTAGGAGACACCCCAGCTGTTGTACAACTCAAACTCACATCAATCTTTCTGAGCTTCCATGGGTGCAACAGTTCTACCACAGCTGGTGAGCTGCCTTTTTGGTTAGTCCTGTAAAGTGCCTAGAGAGAGATCTGCTATGCCTCACTGATGATGCCTAACCAGGCTGAAACAATCGTATGGGGTTGCTGTATCTCTCGTGCAGAGAGAGCCGGCCTGTATTTTGGATCTGTTCTGCCCTTTTGGAGATGCATGGTCTGGTTCTCTTTGTAATGGCACAAGATGAGCTAAAACATCTTGAGAACTGAGCGGGGATCCACCGAAGGGCAGGCTAATTGAGCTGTTGTCCGTCCTCAGCACTCTCTTGCAACTTGTTTTTTTTGCTCTACATTCTTAGATTGCTTGATATACATTGTTTTACCTTGGACACTTACGCCTGTACAATTAGAGACAATCTATTTTAGGCCTCACCGAGTGTGAGTGTTGTACTCGCAGTTCATGTGACAGTTTTTTTATTTAAGGGACACTCCAGGCACCCAGACCACTTCTGCCCATTGGAGTGGTTTGTGTGCCAACTCCCACTAGTTTTTATAAACTGCAATAATTACCTTGCAGGGTTAAGTCCTGGGGGCACTGCAGTGCCAGGAAAACAGATGTTTTCCTGGCACTGGAGAGTCTCTTTAACCCCTTACGGACATGACATATGTGACGTGTCATGATTCCCTTTTATTCCAGAAGTTTGGTCCTTAAGGGGTTTTTAAGTGGCCAAGCAACAAATTTGTTGGACAATCTATTGCTTTTGTTAAGTTGGTTATTCTGCTGCTTTTTTTTCAAATGAAAAATTAAACCTTTACATTTACTCAAAAATTCTTTATCCTTGATACAATTGTAGAGATCTATTGTGTGCTGGCAGCCATCTTGGTTTGGGTGATTATTTTGCACAAAAATATTCTTCTTCTCCAGAACCACTTTTGCTACAGACGTACAAAATGCTGTGGAAGGTCCTGTTGTGACTTAGTTTTGGATTTATTCAAGAGAAGTCGATTGAGCACGTGATTTGGTGGCTGTATTGATTACCCAAACATTTTCACAACCTATTGTCAAAACAATGTGGAATTTGTCACCTATATTTAAAGTAGTTTGTTTTGTGCACTTTTATCTCCCCGTCTTTTTCTTTGTCAATTGCTGTTTAGATTTCACTTTGTGCGTTTAAAATTTGTTTTTTTTTTAAATGCTCCGTTGCATTTTTTTTTAATTATTATTATTGTAACACCGGTTTAGGCCTATATGTGCCGGATAAGTTGACCCGCTAAATAATGTGCAATTTTCGGGCCCAGTCTAGATCTGTGGGTGGAATGTTTTTTTAATATAAAATTAATGATTTACTTACTGTAACCTGTTATAATAATATAAGATTATTTTAAAAGCAAAAACATATAGTTTACGTTTTACTTTCCCCTAATAGGTCACTAGCAAGTCAGCTGTATTTACATATGAATTAAACCAAACCGCAAACTGTACAGTTATACGCAGTTGTTCCAAAATTTGTGTAAATAATGACTCTAAAGCGTTCTAAATACAGTGAGTGGTGATGGTAAGCAGTCTAAAAAATCGATACCTTTTTAGAAAAGAAGTTAGAAGTTATAGAGGTATGAAAAGAGGTTACAGTATTGCATGCATCAGGCAAAGACTTTATTTTCGTCTCTGCCACATATCAACAGCTTAATATTCTGCATATTAATCAACCCCTAGTTTTAGTAAGATATCTTTTTAACGTCTTGTACACTGGCATATATGGCAAATTGCAATATAATGCTGCCATTAACGGAGTAGTTAGAGTCAAAAGCTTTTATGTACAGACTCCACTGCCCTATTTTAGCCAAAACAGCCAAAACATTGTTTGGTTGCAATGGGTTTAAGATCTTGTTTGTGTTTAAGATCTTCAGAGAATAAGACCAGAATAAGTGCATCTGAACCACAACATTAAGATGTAATGGTTTTGGCTCTTAGTATCTCCTTAAGACACTTGAAGGTCACTTCGTAAAAGGGCAATTTGCAACAGATGAGGAAACAGAATTTGGCTATCTATTTGCAATTGCCATTCAGGTGCATATGCAGTGATTTGCTTCTAAAATTCCAAAATATATTTTTAGTTCTTGGTGTGGCTTACTGGTACACAAATGACTTATTTGATAATGGATCTTTTGAAAGGCACTTAAGGCAGCCTATAAATTTGATTAATCTCTTCATTTTTGCATGCATTGTGTCGTAATCCACTTATGTGATTATTTCAAATATAAAATGCTACATAAATCTAGTGTCATTGTGCATTGACATGCATGTTGCCTATTGATATAGTAACTGAAACTAAGAATAGCACAGAGAGGGGAACAAGCTGACCTTCTCAAAACAGAGGTCAGCACATTCACAGGGGGGTGGTGCTCAATGTGTAAATGTATGTATGTGTGCTTACAGCCAATATGCAAAAAATTTCTATTTGCTGCCAGATGATCAAATTGAACATCTGGAATTTCCTCCCACCCTTTCCCTTTCTCTCTAAAACTAACATATTTTTGTTCTTTTTTAGAATCTGTTGGAGCTGCAGGCTGATTCTTGCACCAGATAGCTGTCATTTTGTATCTCGACCGCAAAAGAACATTAAATACAAAAACCTTGTTCTGGACTCTTGAGAGAAGTGCGCAATTAAAGACTTGTCACAATGAATGTGACCAGCTTATTCTCCTTTACTAGCCCGGCAGTGAAGAGATTGCTTGGGTGGAAACAGGGAGATGAGGAGGAGAAATGGGCTGAGAAAGCGGTGGATGCCCTGGTGAAGAAGCTTAAGAAGAAAAAAGGAGCAATGGAAGAGCTAGAAAAAGCTCTGAGTTGTCCCGGGCAGCCCAGTAACTGTGTCACAATTCCTCGCTCTTTGGATGGCCGGCTACAGGTCTCTCATCGCAAGGGCCTCCCTCATGTGATTTATTGTCGTGTCTGGCGCTGGCCAGACCTACAAAGCCACCATGAACTGAAACCTTTGGAGTGCTGCGAATATCCATTTGGCTCCAAGCAGAAGGAGGTCTGCATCAATCCTTACCATTACAAACGAGTGGAAAGTCCTGGTATGTATCTTGATTGTAAAAATACTGTAAACGTTAAACATAGAAGGGCTTTTTATTTATTTTTTCTTCTCATTTTGTAGAGCAGTGTAATTCATACAGAGTTTGAAGCAAAGTTTGGTCATAAAATATTGGCCCATCCTGTTTTCTGGTGGCGTTTGTCTTTCCTCTTTAAATGAGTTTTTATAACAGGGTTTTCTATATCTAGCTTCCATTTTATATTGATCAATCATCATCTAAAATCCATAGTGCACTTTATTGCCATAACAGATACTGTTTTTTGTAAAAGCAACTATTTTAACCCTAAGACTGCCAGTGTTAATACGGCAGGCCCAAGCCAACCTGCTATGCTAGAAATACTTCATATTTTGAATCAAAACTGAACCTATAATTTTGTTCCTACTGTAAATGTACTTTTTCTTTATTTTATTTTTTTTCTTCATTCATACAAAATACTGTTTTCTTAAAAGGACAGAAATGGCTTTCTTTTAATATCCCATATGTACACTTAACACAACATTAAGTATGAAATTTAAAAGGGAAAAACTACTCTCTTACACGAATCTTAATTCTACACAGACCCTGAAATATCACTAACTCTTAGCAGATAAGATAACAAAGGTACAAGAAACCTCAATATCTTGCTCTGGTTAGTCGCTGCTCAGGTCTCAAAAATTTTTGTCTCACTTGTTCCATTACAGAGAGAACCTATACCATTTCCATATCAGACTGATCCCGTCAACAAGGACAGAGCCGAAATGCCAGAAAGTGGGTGGGATCAGTCTCCTGTTAAAATTGTATAGATTCTCTGTGATGACAAAAGTGAGCAAAAATATATTTTTGAGACCTGAGCAGGGACTAACTGAAAGGCAAGCTATTGAGGTTATTCAGAGCTTTTACCGGTTCTGAGAGTTCTCAAATTATCTGGTTTTGTTGCAAAGTATTGACCAGTACTCTACACCAACTCCAATTCAGAGGGATTCTGTCTGCTATTAGCAGAGGGATTTCCCAGTTCACACAGTACAGTGTACTCCTGTGAGTACACCAGCATGAGAGGGAAATCTTTCTCATGCTTAAGCTCTAGCATGCTATCCCTGCTGATCGCACGGTGATCAGTGCTTGGTAGTGGTATTCAGGGAGACCCCCTCAGACTGGTGCAAAGCCATAGGGATTTAAATGCATTTAAACAGCTTTATGCTGAGTTTACTTTGAGCTCTGTTAGTCTGGGACTACTAAATATGGCTCCAGCTGACAAGGGGTGGGTGCCAAGGTATCTAATACCTCAAGGTGAAGATCTTCCAACTGCACATGAGTAAATCTGTCTGACATGCCCAATGCACTTTCCAAGCGTTAAGTACACTGGCTAGATCAATGTCTCCTCACTCCCCCTCGTAATTGGTGTGAAAAGGATAAGAAAGGAGGCAAATATTTAAAGGAACACTATAGGCCCAGGAACACAAACATTTATTCCTTACCCTATAGTGTTAAAATCCCCATCTAGCACTCCTTGTCCTCCTAAATATAGTAAAATATTATTCCAGTCTGCTGCTGGCTCTACCCCTGATCTGCCTGCATGGCTGACATCAGAAGTATTGCTCAAAGCTAATCACAATGCTTTCCAAAAGGAAAGCATTGGATTGACTGAGCTTATCAAGGGCAGAGCCAAAACAAGCCTGGTCAATCAGCCTCTAATCATAGAGATGCATGTAATTAATCTATGAGTGTCTGTCTGCATGCAGAGGGTGGAAACACTGAATGTCAGTGCTGCAAATGTCGCAGCACTGCCCCAGGAAGCACCTCTAGCAGCCATTTGAGCAGTGGCCAGTGGAGGTGTCCCTAGGGAGCAATGTAAACACCAGGCGTTTTGCAGAGAAAAGGCAAAGGGAGTGTTTATACTCACTAGAAGAATACAATGAACTGTAGTTGTTCTGGTGACTATAGTGTCCCTTTAAAAAAAAAAAAAAAAAAAAAAATTAATTTCCCTGCTTTTTTACAGCCTGCAGAGTGATGCAACTGTCTCATTCAAAACGAAAGCTTTTGAATGAGACGGTTGTATCAAAATAATGTATGTCACTTGAAATGTACGGTGTCTAACCCGGTGACCTTATAGCTTCATATGGCCAAAAGATCATGCATGAACGAATATTCTTAAGTCCACTGATGGACCCCTCTTCTGTTTTAAAAACAAACTCTATGGGCACTCAGATCATTTCCTCTTAATGAAGTGTAGCCTGGGTGCAGTGCCCCTGTTTTGGTCCTGTAGTTAAAAACACTGCTGTTTTTTGAGATACAGCAATGTTTGCATCATTGTGCTAAACATGCCTCTAGTGGCTGTCTGATGGTGTTTCTGCTTCTAGAGTCTTTTTTTTTATTTTTTTGATGTTCAACAGCAGTGGGGTTTTTTGTGGGGTTTTTTTTCACATTGTTGCTTCTCTATGAGAAGTCAGCAGACGAGATGAGACAGGAGGCTATTAGGACTGAGCCTCGGATCTTGAAACAAAGTAAGTAAAATATATTTTATATTTCTCTCCCCTGTGACGCAGGTGCACAAGGATAAAAAGGATTTAAAGGGACACTAGTAACCAGAACAATTGTAGCTTAATGTAGGTTTTCTGGTGAGTATAGTCAGTCCCTGCAGGCTTTTGTGCTTTGAACACAGAGAAAATAGTGTTTACAGTACAGCCTAGGAACACCTCTAGTGGCCACTAGAGGTGATTTCTGGGTCAGTGCTGCGCAGTGTACCACACTGATGTTCAGTGTCTCTAGACACTGCATGGAGACACCACTGAACTCTCCTCATAGAGATGCATTGATTCAATGCATCTCTGAGGAGATATTGATTGGCCTGGGTGGTGTTTCGCTTCGCCCCACACCCACCTACTTGGCTGACCTGACCAGGATTGACTATCTCAGCCAGTCTAATGATAGCCAAGGAGGCTGGTCGGGGTGGGGCCAGCTCTGGCAGACACATGCGGCGCTGAAAGTAAAGTGAGTATTCTAGTTATTTAAGGGGGCATAGCATGTTTAACACTATAGGGTCAGAAATACACGTTTGTGTTCCTGACCGTATAGTGTTTCTTGAATGAAATGGTTTTTTTAATGGTTTTCATTTTAAATGCCCTGTAATGTGTGTTACCAGGAGTCCCCACAGTAAGTAGTTAAAATGTTTTTGAGCTATTTGACACTTACTTTTGTTACCTGGGCACCTGCACAGCTTTGGTTCCGGACTGTGGCTAAAGAGGACGTTCTCTTTCTGTTTAAGAAATGTCAATTTCGTGCAACATCACAAATTCTCAATCTAATTTAGTCATGTCACATTTGTACATTAGCAGAAGTTGTCATTCCGCTTTAGTGTAAATTTTGTGCAGTTTTTCATGTAATCTTTTGGGTGAAAGCATCTGTGACTATTGACTTAGCAAAATGAGAACTTGTTAACACAGGAAAAGCATGGGCTCTTGAAACATTCACAAACTGGCTACTTATTGTGGAACACAACCAAGGGACTCCTGCCTCTAAAAGGATGATAGTACAATGGTTATGGTGTTTAGAGTGGTGCTTTAAATGTAGAAGTCAACTCTGTTCAATTCTGGAAATGAGTACATTCATCTTGGCTTCCTGTCGTTCATTTATGAGTTTTCCCTTTTGCACCTGACAGTTAACTTAGGGACAGAGAAGGAGAAATAGAATTATAGTTTATTTTTCCTCCAGTGTAGTGAACAAGCTTGTAAACTTTTCAAAAGAAATTGAGCATCACTTAAAAAAAAAAAAAAAAAAGACTTTCACTGTTTTAATGTTCTTTCCAAGAGTATAATGATCCACACCTTTTAAATGTTTAATTGAAAATCATAATTTTATGAGTAAATTGATCCTCTCCACTAAGAGAGGTTGGTAATCTAAATTTCCAAAGTAACCAAGGTAACAAAAAAAAAATCTGTAGGAGATAACAATCCTGGAAATAAAATGTCACTTTAATCCACTGACTAATGCAACTTTTTTTTTTTTTTTAGCTGAGAAGTTTTTAAACTTAATATATTGGAACAATGTAGTTTTAAAGGCCCACAATAGGCACCCAGACCACTTCAGCTTAATGAAGTGGTCTGGGTGCCTGGTCCAGCTAGGGTTAACCCTTCTTTTTGTAAACATAGCAGTTTCAGAGAAACTGCTATGTTTATATTAGGGTTAATCCAGCCTCTAGTGGCTGTCTCATTGACAGGCGCTTCCGCGCTTCTAACTGTGATTTTCACAGTGAGAAGACGCCAGCGTCCAGAGGAAAGCATTGTGAATGCTTTCCTATGAGGCTGGCTGCGCGCGTGGCTCTTGCCGCGCATGCGCATTCAGCCGAGGAGGAGGAGAGCTCCCCGCCCGGCGTTGGAGAAAGAGGTAAGTTTAACCCCTTCCTCCCCCTAGAGCCCGGAGGGAGGGAGACCCTGAGGGTGGGGGCACCCAATGGGCACTATAGTGCCAGGAAAACAAGTGTGTTTTCCTGGCACTATAGTGGTCCTTAAATAATACAAACAAGTATTCCTAGCTCCATAGTGTCCTGCCTACTGTGTAGTGTCTGCCCCCACCCCTTCTGTAAACTTCAATAAAGTTAATTTACCTTCATTCATTTTCAATCCGCGGTGATCTCTCCATGGCTTGACCCACCTCCTTGGCCAAGATCTTTATTTTTGGTGATCTCAGCCAATCCAGCGCTTTCCTATATGAAAGCATTAAGAGGCTGTTGCACTTGTGTGGCAAAAGGCTGCTATGCAGCCACTACAGGCATTTAAACCTTTCACTGTATATGTTGTAATTTCTACAGATTGACAAGATTTTCAGCTGCAGGGTTAAACTACAGTGACATGACATCCAGATTGCTCTGCATGGAAACACTGAACTTTCCTCGGAGACGCTGAACTTTCCTCATAGAGATGCATTGACTCAGTGCATCTCTGAGGAGGTGCTGATTGGCCAAGCCAGCGTTTGTCACCATTCCTGTCCCGCCTCATTGATGACTTGAGCCATTCCAATGTGAAAGCCATTGGATGTGCTGAAATCATACATTCCTATGTCATTAAGGGGGCAAAGCCAGCCCTGGAAATAACGCATGTTTTTATTATTATTAGTATCTTTTAAGCCACCTAGATAGTGGTTTTTAAAACTAGAGGATCAGGAATAAATGTTTGTTTCTAATCCCATAGTGTTCCTTTAAGCTTGACAAAGCTTTAACAATGTTTGTTTGCCAAAAGAATGCTTTTAATGTTAAATCTACTTAATGATTCTTATATTCAATATTTCTAAAATGTTTATTAATCCAGATAAGGATTGTATGATCTGTTAAATGAAAGTCAAATTGTCATGGACACTTAATTTTTAGGCTATTATGTCGTCTTGCATTAATTTTCACAGTATTGGTATATTGGGAATAACTGCTCTCAGCCCCGTTTCAACGTCTTTAGGAAAAATACATCTAACTGCTGCATTTATCCCAGCTAGAGCAGTAAAGACCTGTTTGAGTCTATTTAATACAACTTACGGCCATATCTTTTTTTTAAAAAGAAGGAAACAAAATCTGTGCAATACGATATATAGGTGTGGTATATGCATAGCTGGAAACTGTAGGACTTTCTGCTCATTCTGGGACTTTCTCCAATTTATGCAACTAGACATAATATAAACATTTGAGGGAAGCCCAACACACAATAAAATCTGCCTACAACAATGTGATTGCTGAGAGGCCCATAATAAGGCAGCAAAGAAACTGCTGCGTTTATTATACCCGGCCTGAATCCTTCCCCTTGGTACTTATTCACTCATGTTATTGGCTTGAAGAAAAAAAACACTATTCATTCTGGCTATCACAATGAGCCAGGCCAGCACTGGAGCAATGTTTGTATACCTACTGTCAGGATATCTCAATTTTCAGGGATGCAGATCCATCAAGTTTAAATGTTGTCTGACTTTTTAGTAACGTGTATTGAATTCAAAGTGAATTTTAAGGCTAATGAAACCAAACTGAAAGCATGGCTGACTTGGAGCATTTCTCACACTTTGGCTATTTTGGAGTTAATTTTTCAATCCACCTTCAATTCCTGACAATTCTCACTTTAATGAATGACCCTGATTATACTTAAAGGTTAATTACTGAAAGCTCTGGAGCAGCCATGGTCAGTTTCATGGTTTTGCTACAAGGCATGAATATAAAAAAAAGTTATTAGGGGCTTTACCTGCATAAAGTTAAAGTATAGCAAAACCGACACAAGAAATGTTATGCTGAATTACTTGGGCATTGCTTGATTTTGTGAATTACACTTACAAAGAGATGGTTTACTTTTAACTCTCAACCATATCACTTGCAGTTATTAATTTTAAGTTCCTAAATAGTACAACTGCTCCAGAATGGAAGCAGCTTCTTAATGAGTTCTGCCAATAACCATTGGTTTTGGGTTTTGTTTTTGTTTTTTCTCTCTCCTCCTCTTCTTTTGGGTGGTCTCAACTGGGTGAGTGAACTTGGCACAGTCTCTAAACTTTTTTTTTCTTTTTTTTTTTTTTTCCTCTCCTTTAGTGGTTTTAACCAATTTAGATGGCATTATAGAACACTTGTATACAAGTACTTAGTGTTTTTATTTATTATATTTTTTTTCCTTCCATCCATCTGCCAGTCTACAGAATGACTTTGTTCTTGGTAGGCAAGCGACACTTTAAGGCATCCACATAGTTGTTTGTATCTGTGCACTGTCCAGACAGGATATGCTTGTGCCAATGTAAACAGTAAGCATGAAAAAAGTATGTATTTACAGTCTAAAGTAGTTGTTGCTGAAGCTATAAATGGCTGACCCAACCACCTTTTGTGGAATTTTCTAATACTTTTTTGGATAGTGAGATACTTGCAGTTCTGTGACATATACATGGTCACTCAGATCAGGATGAGCCAGGGAAGCTAGGGCTGCATAAACATGATCTGTACAGAACTGCTTGCTTCTGCCCCTGTTTGAGAGAACCAATGTTGATGATCTCAACCATCCAATGCTTCACCATAGAAAAGCATTGGGAGGCTGGTGTGCATGCACAGCCAACATACCAATCAAATGCTCTCAATCATTAAAGTACAGCGCTACGAAATTTGCTGTTGCTATGTAAAAATAATCTGAACTATAACAGAGTTTGTCATCTATAGGTGCAGAAGCACCTCCAGTGTCTGTCTTCCTGACAGCAAGTAGGTGCTTGTTCGCCATTTTGCAGGAACAGTAATGTTTGCAGGTTTTTTTTTTTTGTTTTTGTTTTTTTACAAGTTGCAGTGTTAAAATAGGGACATGGCACCTAGACCACTTCATTGAGATGAAGTGGAATGGATGCCAATGAATTCATTTTAATGAAGTTGCTTTAGTGTATCGATCACGTCTCAGAAGTCACAAACAATGCTCCATTCTCTGCAGCTTAGGAGATAAATTGCTTCACTAGATGTGACTTGCAAAGCTTCGACATGCATTCTGTAAAGAGAGATCTAATTTTCAAACTTCCTTTTCTGTACTGCATTTAAAATATCTTTTCTCCTGCTGTTTTAACCTTGTGCAGGAGCTACTTCTGTGTAACTTTTAAAGTCGCAATGGGGGGGGGGAATTTTGTCCCTCATGTGGGCCACTGTCTTCTGTCTGGTCCGAATCAGCTCCTGGTGCTTCAGATGCTAGGAGCCGACGTCACAGCTGTATTCTTGCTCATGCGTGAGAGCACAACATTGAGATCTATAGAGGATCCCACAAGATCACGGGATCCTCCAGAGACAGAGAAAAATACTGAGACAAAGTAGAATCTGAAATACTCTAATTTTGAAGTGCAATTAAATGCGGTTTAATTTTATGTGTTTATTGCGCAAGAATTTAAGGTGCTGCCACACTGCCTGTCCTTTTTCACCTTCTCAGGAGTTCGTAAACACTTGTTAAATTGTTTTTAATGGAATATTATTTTCTTTCAGTTCTTCCACCGGTCCTGGTTCCAAGGCACAGTGAATACAACCCACAGCACAGTCTCCTGGCCCAGTTCCGCACCATGGAGCCTAGTGAGCCTCACATGCCACACAACGCCACTTTTCCAGACTCTTTCCAGCAGCAAAACAACCACCAGTTTCCTCATTCTCCGAATAGCAGCTACCCAAATTCACCTGGCAGTAGCAGTACTTATCCTCACTCGCCAGCCAGCTCTGATCCAGGAAGTCCTTTCCAGATCCCAGGTAAAAACATAGAATTGTTGCTATACAAATTACCTTCTACATCCGTTTATACATGTCACATTGCAGGGCTTAGCTTTCTAGATATGGTTGTGGAGATGGCGAGCAGCATCTGGAACCCCAGATATGCATCTTTACAGTGGAGGGACGTTGGGGCACTGTGTTCCTTTAACTGTTAGACCCTGAATCAGAAATGCTTAGTGTAGTTTGTAAATGTGAAGAAAAACGCATAGAATACGGCTCACAAAGGTATGCTACAAAGGAGGGGGATAACCCCTAGTGGAATCAAAAAAGAAGAGAGTGAGTAGTATACCCGTTATTGGGTACTGGGAACTAGATGCGAGTACCACACGGAAGACTGGTCATACAATTCAAAAAACAAAAAATAATTTAAGTTAATATTAAAAATTGCCAACTGGAAAATAAGGCAATCACCCAAGTGTAACACACAAAATGAGTACATACATAGAAAGAAGTGCTAAAATCAATGAAATTGGCTTAATAACCGCAGATTGTAGAGGTTCTTATATTGCACTTGCTAGGTTAACTGTAATAGCACACGTCTGTGCTATACAGGAATATGTGTTGACCATGTGATATAAGTAGGGGAGGGATGAGGGTATGAGACCTTAATGTAAGATAGAAGAAACTGCCTTAAGTATAGAGATGGCTTGTCAGAAGGGAGCCTGGTCGGGTGAAACGCGAGCGTCAAGGGATTTACCACGCTATTAGCAATACCGTTACTACACGCTCTTCTATTGCACTTTATTCTCTTTATCTACGAGGGGGGTTGGATTTAGGTGCCCTTGAAGGCACGGGTTGGGCTATGTAGTCAGTGTACCTGATGTACCTTCTATCTTGTTTCCTACAATTTGTTTCTTTCTCTTCCTCCTTCCATACTTGTTGTTTTTATTAAGGAAACGAGCTGTAGGTGCCCCTTCATAGCACATCATGCTTTTTTAGTGAAATCTCAAACATACATATTTTTTCTGTATGTGATATCTCAGGGGCTCCCTCAGCCGAACGTTGGGAGTGTATACAGTTTACCTAACACTAAAAAACCAACCTCGAATAAGCTACAATCTATTTATTTATTTAGTCTGCTTTAATCTTACATTTAGGCTCTCTATACTTAAGGCAGTTTCTTCTATCTTACATTAAGGTCTCATACCCTCATCCCTCCCCTACTTATATCACATGGTCAACACATATTCCTGTATAGCACAGACGTGTGCTATTACAGTTAACCTAGCAAGTGCAATATAAGAACCTCTACAATCTGCGGTTATTAAGCCAATTTCATTGATTTTAGCACTTCTTTCTATGTATGTACTCATTTTGTGTGTTACACTTGGGTGATTGCCTTATTTTCCAGTTGGCAATTTTTAATATTAACTTAAATTATTTTTTGTTTTTTGAATTGTATGACCAGTCTTCCGTGTGGTACTCGCATCTAGTTCCCAGTACCCAATAACGGGTATACTACTCCCTCTCTTCTTTTTAGTTTGTAAATGTATTCCATGTCACATGTAGCAACCAATTGTGGATATTATGCCATGATCACATCAACTCTATGTGCAGACCAGATCTGAACAAATTAAAATAAGTCTTTCTGTATACCTTCTCGTGTATAAGAACTCTCAGGTGTTTGAGGAAGGATTGTTCAGAATTGAGACTATAAGGAAGGGTTGAGTCCATATTGCTGGAAGGACCTTGGTATAATGCGGAAGATTTGCTATGGTTGAATAGAAACCTGGCACTGCATCATATCTAATGTTAAGAGGGTATGTGGTAAGAATCGGGTGAATAAACAGTATAATTTGGCAGAATGATTGCTTTACTAAGATTATATAGATGCACATTCACGCCATTAAAAACCCCTTTCACAGATTATCTAATAGTGTGTATCAAGGGATCTAAAGGTACATTGAATAGTAAGGGCATTAACTGGCAGACCTGATTTACTCATGAATTCTGGCGAAGGTCAAATGCTGGGATGTTATCAAAGTAAACATTTATGAGGGAGATCAAGGTACCTACTATATGACCTTTTCGAAGTGTGTAATTTAGGTAAAGTGTTTCTGGTCTGGGAACTTGAACATATTTGTCAGTGGTAGCATGATCCAGATTGACTCCATCCTTCAGAGCAGGTGTATGTCTGTCTGAAGCATAATATATTTGCTTTTTGTAAAGGTCTTACGCCGTCATTTGAAAGGTAGTACAAATTTGATTACTACTGGAGAAAGACATCATGGCTAATAGCTGTCAGTGGTCCTGAAACCATTGTTTGATGTTAAGCTAGTTACAGAGTGTTTGTTACTGGTCTTTGTTGGCCTGAGTATTTTACTGTATTTATTGCCCCATCTATGAAACCCATCCTTGGCGCTGGGTCAAAGCTCTGCCTCCTTCTCCGTCCTGTGAAGAGCGGAGTCTAATGCAAATGCTGTGCGTGCGCATTATACCTCCTCATTGGAAAGCATTGGGTCACAGCGTGAGGACGCTGGTAGACAGCCACATAGGGCAGATTTAGAGCTTCACTGTAAACATTGCAGTTCTCTGGAAGTGCAATGTTTAACATTTCAGCACTAGGTGCAAAAGGGACACAGCACCCAGACCACTTCATTTAGCTGAAGTGGTCTGGGTGCCTACAGTGTCCCTTTAAGAGCTGTGCAAAGCTGATCAAGTATACTCCACTGGTCTCATTTTAGGCCATTTGAATAATGATTGGATCAGACAGCATTGCGGTTACAGGCCACCTTTGTTCAGTTAGCTAATCATGTAGGTACTGTTCAAACAGGTTGTTGTTGTGTTTTTTTTTTGTTTGTTTTTTTATGCCTCTATTCTTTAATATAGCCGTAATCACCAGCTGCAAGGTGAACCCAATGCTCCGGATATTGGTCCACCTGTGCTGCTTCTCTAATAAGTTTGCAGCAGCCACACCTGGCACCATCATCCTGCACAATGACAATGATTTTCTCAGTCCGCATTTCAAACTTTGCAGCTACCTCCTCAGCAGTGTTGTTGCTATCTGTCTGTCTTTGAGTGACATGGTAGTAAGGCAGAAATGCATCCTCTTCAGACCGTCTAATCAATGAGATTTGTTGACAATTTTCGTGTTTAGATGTTGCATCTCTATAGGAGTCCTTCAACGGATTAAACTAGCCCCTCCTTACATTTGAAAATGGTATAAATAATAAATAGGATGGCTATTCCTTGGGACTTGGCATAATAGAAAGCAGGAACATAACACCACCTCCCAAATCCAGCATCCATAGGAGCAGGACGCCAGTGCCCGGGTTATAGACACAATCAAGTAACTGGTAACATGACAAAGGGGGTGAGTCAACCCTGCTAATCAATCAGGCCAGCCTGCTGTGTGCAGACCCTGCAGGGAGCACTGTTTCCGTGTCCTGAACATAGCGCATCATTAGGCATGCTTGCGCTAACACTGCTTCCCTGGTATCCACAAAATCAGGAGTCTGGAGGGGGAGAGAGAATTAACCCCATCATCATGGCATACAATTTGTACCTACACTAGATATGTAGGTCTGAAAACTTTTGAATGTCAATTTACAGATTCGATTGATCCTCTGAAGCAAACATACATACATACATCCAGCAGGACGTGCCCACTATAGTGACTGAAATTCTGTATGACAGAACCTATTTGAGTTGTTAATGAGGAAACCCCCATAAAACCTGTACATCAGGGGTACTGTTGTACTTGTAAGACATTGTTGCACACAAGTGAGTGTGTGTAGAACAGTAAAATGTATAGTGACAATGTCATCCTGGAAAGTGTTTTTGTTTTTTTGTTTTTGTGGCAAAAAAACTAATTTTGTGGCTACTAAAAAAGCTTGGGCATATATACCCCATTTACAATACCTTGGGTTGTCGAATTTTAGAAATGGGTATTCCATGATGGGGACAATGGTTAACTTAAGGAAAAACACTGAGCTATCTAAAATATATAGAAACAAGTGCTTATCAGATTATATGAGCAATTGTTCCAGAGATCCTACTCTAGCATTAGCCCAATAACACAAGTTTTGGTTTAAATGGGGAAAACATTTTTTTTTCTGGTTAAATGTTGTTTATTATGTGAAATTCCTTTATCACCCTGTGAACCTTCACCCATATATACTGCTATTCATGTTTTCCCAGTTTTCTCACCCCTATTTCGTCAACAGATTACAGTTTATACTTCCCAAATACAGTGGGAAACTATTATTTCTACAATTTATCAAATTATAAACACATTTTTTTTTTTTTTAAAGACATTAAAATCTCTATCAACAATCCTGTATTTTTTTTTTTTTAATGTAATTCGCTTATTTGAATGTGTCATTAGGGCCTGTGAGAAAGGGGGTGTGCATATTTACCATGATGTGTTTAAACTCACTCGAGTGACAGAAGAACAAGGACAGGACCCGGCTTAAAATGCCTGAACCATGAAAAGTGATTATTGTAAACACTAGATTTTTTTAGGATTAATTTTGTCATAATGGTGACCAATTCATTATTTGAATGGCAGTGCTTTTGTTGGGTTCTATGTTTTGTTCTTACTGTAAATTGGTAAGACATTTTCTAACCATATCCATTCTTATTGTGTAGCAGACACCCCTCCACCAGCTTACATGCCCCCTGAAGATCAGATGACCCAGGATAACTCCCAGCCAATGGACACTAATATGTTGGTGAATGCCATCCCTCAAGAAATAAATAGAGCAGGTAAGTTTTGTGGGTTTTTTTGTTTTTGGTTTTTTTTTCTTCCAATATCGTCCTTGCCATTACTTTTTGGTCTGTTATTTTGGAAATGTGCAATATGGCTGAAATGCTGAACACCTTCTCTTGCTACAATCTGTTAGTGCTGTGACTGGTCCCCTATGCCGCAACTGAGCACACTCCTCAGAACAGCTTCTTCCCACCACCAAACCACAGATGTCAGCCCGTTCACAAAGATTGTCCGTTTACACCTCTTCTCTCTCTCTCACCCCCCCCCAATCACATGAAGCATATTGATAACCAATAGGACACACAATCCCAGCATACCTTCCTTGCATACACCGCAAAAAACTATACCTTAGGCTAAAGGATTAACATGCCATCAACAATAAGTGACTCCACTCCCTGAGTCACAAAGGGGGAAAGTCCCAGCCCCCACCCACTAGAGCCCACTCAAACAGGGCCGACCTTAGGGGTGTGCGACCAGGGGGCGCCATGTGGCCGACACAGCTTGCACATGGCCGGGTGACAGGGGTTCAGGGGAGCTAAAACAGGTACCCGGGTGGAGGATTTCATTATTCTCCACCCGGGTCAATAAAAATATAAATAAAAAAAATAAAATAAAAAAATTGCATTGTGGGGGTGGGGCTTATGATGCAGAGGCGGGGCTAATACCTTCCCAAGGCCCCTGGTAACTGCTGCACAGGAAGAGGTAAGAAGGAAGGTGTCCCTGCTTCCCCAACAACCAAATGCATCCACTGGAAAGAGCTGTCTGTGTGACTGTTTGCCTACCTGTGTGACTGCCTGCCTGTCTGTCACTCCAATTGTGTGTGTCGCTGTAGCTGTGCCTGTATGTGTGACTATCTTCCTTTAACGGAGTGTGTGTGTGCCTATTAGCGTGCGTGAATGTCTGCATGCCTGTAACTGTGTGGCTGTCTGCTTGTGGCAGTATACAGGAGCGCTGTGAAAACTTTTCGCACAGGGCTCCTAAGGCCGGCCCTGCCCCCGGTACCCAAGTTACAGCGCACCAGCAGTCCGTCACAAGTGTCCTTTAACAAAATTCAGTAAAGACTCATGACATCGCTTACCAATTTTTCTCCTAAACCCCTCTGAAATGCAGGTTCATGCCTTAAATAACTAAAGGAAATGGTTTGCAATTTTTGCTTGAAGTTTTGTGCTTCAATTTTCTGCTGACAAATTTTGTTTGGAAGTGACTGAGTATTAACTCTGTTATGCAAGATGGGCTTTTCTGCAGCCAAATACAAGTTGTTTTGTATCAGTCAATTGCCATTTTGGTTGAAATTGTTTCCTTTTCCTTCCTTGGGGACTTTTTTAGTTGCTTTAAGCTCTCCACAACCAAGTGTTTTTGAGTGAAACCACATCCGTTTTACATTTGTTTGATGCAAGCTAGAATATAAACCAATCACAACAGCGCAATTATGTATCGTACATCTTCTTGTATTTGATTAATTTTTAAATATAAATGTTTGTTAGCTGAATATGTTAAGCAAAATATCTTTAAAAAAAAAAAAAAAAACTTGAACTGCTGTGGTTTACGTTCTTACTTGTGTCCGCCCTCCCCCACAGGTGAAATTTCCTTCTCTGATGCTCAACTGGCTTCTGCCATTCACTCATCAGCTGAGAGAGTCTGCTTTGAATGACCTCTGTGGAAAGACTATGCATAGAATTGACATTGGCCAGCCTGGAATTCTTGTTCCAGGCTGGCTAACTATGTACTAATGACGATGCAGGAGATGGAGTTAAAATCTCTTAGTATGTCCAGAGTTTCATATTGAAAAGCTGCTCCTACAGACTTAAATTAATGAATAAACTTTTTAAAAATCCAGGGTCTGAAATTTTCATGAAGCAAAAAAAAAGTAAAAATATAATTTTTTTTTATTTTTTTTTATATACCTTACAGTAGAGGTGTAATTTATATTCCCCTGTGCACGGTGTTCTGGGCAAGCTGCAAGGCTGCCTTGGAGGGATTGGTGCTGGAGAAGTGAAGTCTGCTCCTCTGCTGTGTGCAGACCTCATTAATCACCTTCTCATAGTCTGATACACTCTGCTGAGTGAACGCCAAGATTACCACAGCGTGCATTCTGACCCACTGAATGCCGGGACCGCGTCAGCAACAAGGAAGGGATGGGTTTTAATTGTGGGATGTGCATGATGCAGACCGCTAAGCTCACACATACAGCCCATAAGTCTTGAGCACAGAAGAAAGTCATGAGATCAAAGTTCACACAATTTCCACTCCTGGTATACTGCCAGTACATTACCAGGTTTTGCTTAGCTGCCCTCACACTGGATACAGCAAGCACACACAGCACACGCTCTGACAAAGGGAGAGGCTATGGGAGGGCAGAGGGTAAGAAGATCAGGGTAAATCACAAAACTGAGTATTTACCCTAAATCTAAATTACAAAACGGAGGCAAAAATAGTCACATTGTGTGACCAGATCTTTTATTTTTTTACCTCCATTCTTCCAATAAGAGTTAATTTGTGAAAGTTCAGTTTAGCCAAAGCCTTATGTCCAGGGCTCTCGGCACGGGGCCCAATATTTGTAAATATTTTGTCAGGACAAGCAGGTTGTCACAATGGACAAATCTACTGCTTTTGTAAATTTACATTTTCCACACCCCTGATGTGACAAAATAGATGCATAATAAACATGGTAAAATACCTTGCTTACAGGTATTTCCAAAGACCCTAAAGGCATTACTGGCAGTACAGCTTACTAAAATAGCAACTGAATGTATAAATGGCTATTTTAGAGCGTAATACCCACATATAGCAAATAAATATAAATCCTATATTTTGCAATCTTAAATGCTAATGTAATGCTGAAGTGTGAAATGGTAGTCCATTCACTCATCCCTCCTTCCAGACAGAAATGAAATGACCCATTGAAACATCCTGTGCTGTTTGAAAGCAGGGATGAGCAGACTTTGAAAATTTACAGGCATTATATCAGGCACTAGTAAATTCTGACAGAAATATGTTCAACAGGCTAGTAACTATAAATGAGGGTGAGTGATGCTTAATGGACTAGATTTTGTACTGCAAAAATGCATTTAAAATAAAAATTGATACTCCATTTGGGTTAAACTATATGCAAACCTCTTCAAAAAGTCAGGTTTTGATTTTCTGTTTTCAGAACCTATCTGTCTGCTCTTCCCGTGGGAACACTTTCTATTAGTATAAAAGTATTTTCCTACTTCCTTTTCTTAGTGGCTGCAAGAAATTGTACACAGCATTTCTTAACTGATCATGTGTTTAGTATCATGTGGCAATTGCACAGTAGAGTACTGTAGTCACACCAAGTTTAACTGCCAAATAGTCTGTCATGAAATGTTGGCTCCCCCCCTCCTTCATTATGTTTTGCAACCAAAATGGTAAATAATGTTTTCTATTCTTTTGTTTTTGTTTTGCGGGTGTATCTGTCTGTTCACCAGGGGGTAAATTCCTTCTCGCCAAGGACAGATTTTCATTTGTTGGTAGGGGGGGAGGGGGGGAACCTGACTCGGGGAAAAAATGTGTTTAGTTACTATATTTGATCGGAAGTGCCTGCCACAACGCCAACGTGCCCAGTTTTTGGCAAGTTTTTTAAAAATAAATATATATATATCTAATGCAAATTTATAAATAAAAAAAATAACTTTTTGATATACCCCCAGTGCCAATATGCATATCAGTATATCTAAAAAGAACTTACAAAAGCTAGAGTTCTTATGCTTGCAGTCTTTGCAAGCCCCTCCCTCTTTTCCCTCTTTGAGAAGCCGCTGATTTTCAGGCATGTGCGTGCACAATGTCTATGCTGGGAATAGACCGGAGGAGGAAGCAGTGTTTGCCACTTCCATCAGCTTGGTGGTGTTTATAGAAGATGGGAGAAAACCTTTTGATTTACAGAAGTGCAGATTTTGTCATAGAAAACAGAGAAATGTGCACTTTTATAAGACAAAATAACTTTAAAAACAGTGGCAAGCTTTTAATGTTTTGGAGATTGATTTGTTAGTACGGTCTCAGAGTATTCACATAAGAATATTTTGTCTTTGATATGCAAAAATGTAATTTCATTTCTGACAAGCATGTTATCTCTAGTGTGTAGAATGGGCAGATAGCAATTGCTTTGATACATAAAGATAGTCCAAAGAAAATCTGTTATCTGTCCTTTGCACCTTGCAGTCCACATAAGGAAAGCGTACAGAGAAAAGAAGAAATTAAACATTGATGATTAAATGGTGTTTCTGTTACTATATAAGAAATTTTAGTAGTACTTAAAAAAAAAAAATTATTTATATATTATTTTTTTTTTTTGAGTGTGTGTTTTTTTATAGAGATGGAACTTTATGTACTTTAACATCTGAACCATGTACTTTGACATCCCGGTCCTTCCACTATTTAAAATCTTAGATAACAGAAATGTCAGGCTACATCGGGTAGGGGCATTACTGATTGGTTAGGCAGTCAGCTGACTGCTGTTTGTGTGCGATTGTATGACTCTTTGAGGTATATGTGTTATGAAAACGAATGTTTGATCCGTTGCAGAAAGTCATACATTCAAAAATTATAGTAAGAGCATAACCGTATTAACATTCACCCCCAATCACACTTGCCCAACCCACATGCATCGCATTCAGCAACCACCACACAATCACATTTAGCCAATCCATACACACAATCGCTCTCATCCATCAACACTTGCAGCACATTCAGACATCTCTATATCCATCTATCTATCTACACACACACACCCTACTCACCTCACATTCAGCTAAGCCCACCCATTCCGCCAGACGTACACATACCACACTCAAACACAGAGGTCTGTGACACATTCATGCATGCACATTGTACATTACGGAGTCTTGGTATGGAGCTCTGTGATTTACTTCAACACTGTACATTACTGTATCGCTGAAGAACTCTGTGATAGTCCTACACACCACATATTACTGTGAGGTTTTTTTTTTTTTTTTTTTTTTTAATAGCTGTAGATTGATGTGATCTATTCATACACACCACATACTGCTGTGTTTTATTAAAATGTTTGCTTTTTATACATAGATACACATTCATGCACACACAGGAAACTTGTATATCTTGCACTCTCCTTTTTGTTTGTGTATTAATCATTCTTCTAGAGGCCATAGTCTTTCCAGGAGATTACAGTTCTAGGATCAGCACAGAACTCTCAGAAATCTCAATGTCCCACCTGCAATCTGCTGAAGCCACACTTCCATCTTGAGGATTATATCCCAGAGTGCTCCTATTACAACTAGGACTACGTCTGCCTTCACGTTGTACATCCTTTCTAGCTCAAGTTTCAGTCCTTGGCTTTCAACCACCTTCTCATGTTCCTTGTTCCTGTTATGGCAACTAGGTACTACCACAGATGATGTTGGGTTGGTTGGCCAGTACTTGCTTGTCCTCTGGATCTGGAAGTCCCACAGAATCTTAGCCATGCTATTTTTAACTACCTTTATCTGCTGGTAGCACATCTCATGCATCCTCCCCATGTCCTGCATTTATTTATTTTTTCGTTGTCTAAGGCCTTTCAGTTCATCTTTGGGTGCCATTTTTCTGATGCACTTGTGGATTATCTGTAGTTCATCCAGGACACTCATCTTGCAGTAGATGATAAAATAGAGCCATCACTGTTGAAGGCAATGAAACACCACCACAAAAAGATGAATAAGTACATGGAGAGAGTCAATATGAATAAGGGAAGCTGGCATGGATGAGAAATGGAAGGTGTATGGGGAAAAGAAGTTGTTTTTTGCAATTTTGATCTTACATTTGTTTAGTAGATGGCTCATTAATCCGGTGTCCCTGTATGGTAATACTAAATAAGGAAACTAAATTAGGGAGGGCACCTATTAAAACGGTGATAAGAAAATTAAGAAAAACATCCATGTTCCTTTTTTCCTTTTTATTTATTTATTTTTCTCTTTGCTTTATAGATTTATTTGGAACTCTATCCATGCAGACATGGTATCTGTCCCTCATGTGGAAAAATGTTGCTGACCCTACTTTAACCCCTTAAGGACACATGACATGTCATGATTCCCTCTTATTCCAGAAGTTTGGTCCTTAAGGGGTTAAAGGGTTTTCTTTTGTTGCCACAACACAGCTTTCGCTGTACTGTTTGACCAATCACAATTTATACAGTCCTATAATTGTGCTAATGCATTGCTTACATTTGGAGAAATGTCCCTGTGCATCAGAATTATCCTAAATATCGTTCCAAGGTTTCAACAGCCTATTCTGTAGGAGATTTGTTAGTCCTGAGAGATTTAATTTAACAAGCTGCATCCTGTCGGTAAAGTTGGGTGATTTCCATTGTTAGCCTTTGCTGGGAACATAGATAAATAGCACCTGCTCTGCATGACTTATAGCAAACGTAAGGAAGTTGTGTGAAAAAAATCTGTGAGAGAAGGATGATTCACTCCATAAGAATTGCCAGCTGGCAGGGTTTCTTTCGAAGTTTGAGAGACTTAGCCTTGATAGTTAGTGGTATCTTGATGTATGAAAGTTAAGTAACCCTTTCTTATTGAAGAAAGCAAATTTTAATTCTGCTGGGCAAGGAGTTCTCCAGAACTAGAAATGAATAATTTGTCTGCCTTTGAAGCGGCTGTAATGTTCCCAGCTGCCTGTGATGATCTTTTATGTTGCCCATTCTCCATAATTTAAGAGATGTTCTGGAGAATTCAGATTTGCTGATTTTCTTAGAGGGAACCTATATTTCCAAAAATAACCATTATTTTTAGACTATAGGCTCCTTTTTATAGCGAAGGGATCATTGTCCACCCTTATTGCTCACAGAATTAAAGATGACCCACCTACTGTCCTGTGCTGCAACTTCTCCACTCCAGCTTGGCCTCCATTGATGTCTGCATTCAAGCTGACATCACTTGTAATTGATTAGAACTAGCCATGTGCAGCAAAATACCACCCTCATTCATGCAGATTCTGCTATCGGTGGCATTTGATTCCTCCTCCAGAACAAACTGAAAATATGCCCTGGAAATACCTTTTAGTTGCTGTCAGGAAGGTAGCCACTAGACGTGTTTTTAACCTTGCTGTTTTAACATTGCAGTTTATACAAAACTTCAAGGTTTTGCATTTGAGGGTTACAATGACTGGACCACTGCGCTAAGACCACTTCAGTGAGATTAAGTGGTTTGGGTGCTTTTACTGGCTCTTTAACAGACATAGGCACCAGAACCACTACAGCTTAATGTAGTGGTTCTGATCCATAGAGAAAGTCCCTGCAGCCTTAGTAGTGCAATGTTTACACTGCTGCCTAAAGCCACTTCTATTGTCTGACACACTATACCAGGGCTTCCCAACCCAGTCTTCAAGTACCCCCTACCAGTCCAGGATTTAGGAATTACCCTGCTGTGTTTTAAAGTGGATTTTTTTTGTTTTATTTTTTTTCTACAAACACCTTAGACACAACTGGGTGATACCTAAATTCTGGACTGTTAGGAGGTGTATGAGCACTGGGTTTTGAACCACTGCACTGGAGGGACTTCCTGGTTTTGGTCTTGCACAAATTGCAAGACTGATGTTCAGAATCTACAAGTTTTACGTTTCCATATAGGGAAGCATTAGCTTGGCTGAGATTGTTAGTAGACAGTCTTTTTGAGGTAAATATGGTAAGTAAAATCCCTCTTTAAAATTCCAAGGTGGGCAGGTGGGAGGGGTGTGTATTTAAATAGGTACTAGAACACTATAAAGCATTGGGAATATATGCACCACCACCACTACAGGGTGCTTGATTGTTTATGTTGCCAGCTTTTCCCTGGCCATATGTCTTTAGTAGGCATCGATCTATCCATTTTTGAACATAATACAGGAAAACCTTTTTGCTTCCCTTATTACTAATGAGGATTTTACACTTCTAAATTGGCATATCACTTTTTGTCCATATTTCAATGATATCCTTTCACAGTGTGTTTGCTGATGTCCCAGAATACTGTTCCAGCTATCTATTTATATTTAATATTTTGTGGTGCATAGTCTTCTATCCAGTTTCTTAATTCAGCAATATTGTACTTATTTATTTTCCCTTGTATGTTTCTGACTTATGTAGTCAACAATCAAATTATACACCATATTGAGATCAAATGTCATAGCTATGGAAACCAAAAACACGTATATCTACAATGCTGTATTTTGTTGTACAATGTATTAACCAAATCGTTATTGTTACTTATGTTTGAATTTACATTTAAAAATCTAGAGTACGTATTTTGTACACTATGATTGGGGAAAATAACATGCAGCCATGTTTAAAATATTACGGTCAGGGAATTATGAAATGCTTTTGCTTTTTTTTTTTTTTTTTTATCCACTCCAACAACTTCTTCAGTGTGATGTTGTTGTGTTTTTTTTTTGTTTTTGTTTTTTTTTTATACAGCATTCACTGTGATGTTATATTTTTTTGATACAGCATTGAATCTCTTTATTGCCCGGCAGAAAATCTCCTAATATAGGTACAGGTGTTTGGAAGTGTGGGTTGTTGCTTTCTTTTGAAATGGACAGCAGATGTGATGACTCCTGTGGTTAAGAATTCCACTGCTTATGTGTTTGAATTTTTGCTGCTGTATCAGAATGTGTGCACAGATAGCAAGTGTGGTGATTAATTCTCATGCCATATGATTAAAAAAAAAAAAAATCTATCTTGCAGATGTTCAAGCTGTTGCATATGAAGAGCCAAAACACTGGTGCTCTATTGTCTATTATGAGCTCAACAACCGCGTAGGAGAAGCGTTCCATGCCTCCTCCACAAGTGTGCTGGTGGATGGCTTTACAGATCCTTCAAATAACCGGAACAGATTTTGCCTTGGGCTGCTGTCCAACGTCAACCGCAACTCCACTATTGAAAACACCCGGCGGCATATTGGGAAAGGTAATCACTGCTCTAAGTGCTAACCAGAAAATAAATAAATAAATATTAAAAAATATATATATATATTATTATTATTATTATTATTATTATTATTATTATTATTATTATTATTATCTCTATTCCCCCAACCCAATGTCTCATTTTTTGTTATTGCCAATGTGTTCCTAAATACATTGCATTTTTTTCCCCCTTTTGCCCTACTGGCTGGCTATCCTTGTGAACACATGGCCAGCACGGCAGTAAGGCAAATAAGGTTTTCACTAGCTGTACTCAAAGAGTGTGCTCTATAACTGCATGGGCCAGGTATCACAAGATCTACCTCTAATAGTGTATCAGGGAAGCGTTTGGTCTTACATTTGAAATTGGTGCAGCTTGCTTACAGTGCTCCATTGTGATACAATGCTAATAAAGCTTACCCTAGTCAATACTGCCTAAAACTAAAGTCAGACTATATGCACATTGTAATGATTTATAGTCTGTCTTACTGACCCTTAATAGTGAGTTGCTGTTAAGTGGAATTTATAAGTAGCTTTTTTTTGGTTGTCTGTGTTTTTTCAGATCAATTCCCTGGTTTATGTCTGTAAAAAAAAAAAAAAAAATTAATGCCTTCATGTGATTCATCCTAATTCGAGTAGTGATAAAATGTACATTTTTATTTATGTTTGTTCAAATTCTTGTCAACTAAAGCAAAGCACTTCTACCCCAAGGTGTCCACTTATACTATGTTGGAGGTGAAGTGTATGCTGAGTGTCTAAGCGATAGCAGCATTTTTGTTCAAAGCCGGAATTGTAACTATCACCATGGATTCCACCCAACAACTGTCTGTAAAATACCTAGTGGTTGCAGCTTGAAGATTTTCAACAACCAGGAGTTTGCTCAGCTGTTAGCCCAGTCTGTAAACCATGGTTTTGAGACAGTCTATGAACTGACAAAGATGTGCACTATTCGGATGAGCTTCGTTAAGGTAAGGAATATGGCTTCATGGCTGAAGCAGCATGTGCTATAATAAAACAGTCCGCTGCTACCCAGCAGCAAATTTCACTGATTTGTAAAGAATTGAAATCCAAATGGCAAACCTTTGGTCAAAATGGTGAAGCTACTCAAGTACGCAAATGTCCAGCACTCGTATAATAGCAGCAATGTTTACAAAGAAATTGTATTTATCAAGCTAATTATAAAAGTGTAAACCATATGTGTATATATACACTATATTATTTGGGTAGATGGCAAATGCCCTTTTTATGTATTCCTTTAATTGTTGCACGGTCATCTAAATAATTTTTTTGTTTACTAATTATGTAGACGATAATTATAGGGCCTAAAACTCCCTACGAGATCTTATGTTCATTTAATTGATTGCTTGGCCAATTAATAGGGCGTGTCTGTGTGTGTCTGTATAATATATACATTATATGTATGTTTGTATATATTTTTATTTCAGTTTTAGAATTATTTGAAAGACAGTTTCTGCTTAAATATTGATGCTATTTTTGAGTGTCCGTAGAGGAATCGTATTTTACAACAAAGATTTAAAATTTTTAAAAATGTAAGTGTCAGGTGGCGGAGCCACATCCTCTGCACCCGTGTTATGTTATACTGTGTTATGTATATTAGATGGGTGTTTTTCCTTACACGGCTGTTCAAAATAGCCATTCTGTGACTAGAACCAAGTTAAAGATTTCTATTCTGTTTTGGCCTAAATTTCACAATTTTTTTTTTTTTTTTTGCATTTATTCAGTGTTTAATGATTAAACTCAATTTTATTTTTATGCAAGAGTTATAGCTGTTGATGTTTTTGTTTTTTGCCTTTCACATCAAACCTAACAAATGCTCACAATGAGTTAAACATGATCAAGGTGTAACTTTTTCTTTTTTTGTTCTCTTTCCTCCCCTCCCTCTTTTCTCAGGGTTGGGGTGCAGAGTACCATCGCCAGGATGTTACAAGTACTCCTTGCTGGATTGAAATTCACCTTCATGGCCCACTCCAGTGGTTGGATAAAGTACTCACTCAGATGGGCTCACCCCACAACCCTATCTCCTCGGTTTCCTAATGGAGTAGAACATTTCTATCTTTTAATGCAACGGAGCCGTGCATGTACTTGAAGGATGTAGGCGTCAGACACGTACTGGCAAAAGGGGACTTTAACTTTATTTTTTTTATATTTTCTTCAGTGGAGAGCCTCTTATACTTGATGTTTGTGACCAACTCTTAACACGAGAGGGAACGAACTGTTAAACCATCTAAGTCCATTGCACAGTTGCTGCCCTAATTAAATGTGACCCTCTTGTCAGCAGCAAATGCGAAGTTTAGAATTTGTAGTTCACAACATAGCATTGTGATCTAGAACAGTGCCCTGTAAAGTAAGTGATGCTGGATTCCAGCAGCTTTTGTCAGTCAGTGAAATGCAGTAAAGACTAAGAGGCTTTCAATAGAGACCAGCAGCAGCTTTATTGCAAACAAGTATATTTTGAGGGGACAGTATTGGAGGTTAAATTGAGAAATATCCTTGTGAAGATGTGGGGTGTTTCAGCTAAAGTCAAAAAAGTAATTTTAATAGTTGTACATGGAAGACTAACTTGTCACTTATTTTTGTGTACTGGTCATGCCTCCACCAGGATGTTAGGTTATGCTCCTTGCTAGATGTTTTGTACATATTTCTCCATCCTGTATTCCCCTTTTTTATGAAGCATAAACAATAATTAGAATGGATTTTGGAGGTTGTAGGCCAGGAGGTATGAGTATGTTCAAACTATCAACTGGATCAGGTTTGCTTTTTGTCTGCTGTATAATACATTCATGCCCCATGTTTTTTCCATCCAGTTGGCTAGGAGGTAAATGAAAATCCTCTTTGCAGTACAATTCTTGCATATTTTCATACGAGAACTGTATTGTATGCCTCTCTGTTGAGCTCTTCCCTGCTTTTGGAGGGCTTGCAATATTGAGTGGATTTTCCAAAATATATCCAGTACTTTTATTGCCAGAGATAATGCAATGCTTCAGGCCTTTAAACACCAACTTTAAAGGACATACAGGTACAGGATACCAAATTGCTCCTCCCGTAGTACAAGCAAACATGATTTAATCTGCCAGGCTTATAAAATTGGATTGATATTTCAAATTCCTAATTCTACTCACCTGAAACCTTATTTTATTTAGTTTTTTTTATATTGTTACTTTTTGTACTATTTGTTTTCTCTTAGTCTTTTATATTCACAATTAAGCTGTAGTACTTGTCTAAAGTACTTTTTATTCCAAATCTAGTGGATCATCTCTACTAGAAATTTAAATAAACTGTCATTATTGCTTACCTATTTGAGATTGTGTATTATTAACTCTCTAATAAGATGTTGTTTCTGTGTAATATTTCTTAAATGAATGCTTCCAGACCATTTACCTCAGTAGTTTTATTTGATGTGAATGCGCTGAAATAATTTTGCCAATGAGGAATCATTTGTGTGATTATGATGTTTGCTTGGCCCAGCACTGAACCCAGTCATCAATGTATCTGTAAATGTAAATTTGTCAAACTGGATATGGTGTCGGTGTCATCCAGAGAAGAATGGGCAGATGTTCTGGTATTTAACTTTTCATGAACACTTTCAGATTCAGAGAGGAGTGTAAAGTAATCTGTTTGTGCCAACCTCATGGGCAATGCAGTATAAACATAGAGCCAGTATACCAATTATTTCAGGATTTGGGGAGGGGGCATCAGTTGCCTGCACCGCCTCAAACTCCACGATACGTGTGTTTTGTTGCTGTGTTTAAAAAATAATATATATATATATATATATATATATATATATATAATATATGTGTATATATGTGTGTGTGTATGTATTTACTTTTATGGATTTCTCCCTCTCAATTACACAATTCTGAGGGATTTAAAACTTTGCTGCGTTTACCATAGCAACACTTTGACTTGCTAAGAAAAACCAGATTGGAGGGAAGTAGTGGTACAAGCAGTCCACTTGAAATATAGACCAAATGATTCATCCAGCAGACTACCAGGGATCAGCTTGGATTCATGCCCCTCTCCATGGTCAAAGGTAAGAGGAGAGAGGTCATATAAAGTAATATTTTCTATTAAATGTGTTTTAAACAAAATTAACCTACACCCACGATAGAGCACATGTAACGCCCCTGCAAACTACAAAATTTACAAGCCTCATACTTCCCATACCTTGCATATATGTACAAAAACCATGAGCAACCACTGTAATAAAAAAAAATAAAAAATTGATAGAGCTAGATAATACTAACTTGTACTACTTTTGCGCAGCTTTTCCAAAATGTTACAACTGCCCTATTTTGTATCAAGGTCTAAATTAATTTGTAGGCTCTTGATTAAGGGATTACACAGTTACTCCTGGGGGGCCCAAAGCTGCCTTCGACCATTTCTTTCCCCCCTCCGTAGGCCCGCCAGTGCTGCTCGGGATCCGCATGCTAAGGAGGCCCATGCACTAAGTGCCAAACGGTGCGCCTGTGTTAGCAGGGCCCGGTCGTGCGCTGTGGTGCTTTAACAGCACGGCCGGGCACTCTTGCTTTTCAGCAACATGGAAGGAAGTGACGGCCACAAGTCACTTGCTCCCACAAAGAGATGAGCCACACGGGAAAGACGGAGGAGGCAGAGAGGAGGGGGTCAAGCCAGAAGAGCCAGACCCAAACTCCCAACAGCTTCAGCCACAACTCTTCAAGGTAGGAAACTGGAGGGTGGGCTTAAAAGTGTACATTTTGCGTGTGTGTGTGTGTATATATATGTGTGTGTGTGTGTGTATGTATATATATATATATATATATATGTGTGTATGTATATATATATATGTGTGTGTGTATGTATGTATGTATGTATGTATATATATATATATATGTCAGTAAGTCTCTGTATGTCTGTGCGTGTCTGTCATTGTGTGTCAATATGCTTGTCAGTATGTGTCTGTGTGCGTCACTGTGTGTGTGTGCATGTCTGTATCAGTATGTCTGTGTTTTAGTATGTGTCTGTATAAGTATGTCTGTCGGCGTATAAGTGTTTGTCAGCATGTCTGTCACAATGTGTGTCAGTGTGTATATATGTGTATCTGTATGTAGTCTGTGTGTATTTGCAAGTTTGTCAGTGTGTATGTGTATCTGTCTGTATGTTGTCATGTATTTCCGTGTATCTGCATGTGTCGGGTTGTGTATCTGTCAGTGTGTGTGTCTGTGTATCTGTCAGTGTGTTTGTCTGCATGTGTTTCAGTGTGTGTTTCAGCATTCACACTAACCCACCCCTGCATTCAAACTTAAACAGTACATACAAACACACTCCTGCATTGAAACAGCAAAATTATATATAAATACACCCCTGCATTTAAAATCCAACACTACACATAAATACAGGCTTGCATTCAAACGGAAAAAACACATACAAGCACACCCTTACATTTACACAAACATACTACACATAAATACATGCTTTCATTCAAACGCAAGCACATCCCTACATTTACACAAACATACTACACATTAATACATGCTTGCATTCAAACGCAAACACCACATACAAGCACATCCCTACATTTACACAAACATACTCCATAAAAAAAGATTCTTACATTCAAACACTGCTCAGTGCTAAATACAAACCCGCAAACATGGGTAAATGATAGATCCTCACCTGTCAATGCATTATTGGAGTTGCACGACAGATGGTGATCTACCTTTTTGTTACCCTTGCAATAGAGGGCCCCAAAAAATTCTTGCACCTCTTTACTTTAGTTCCACCACTGCATTGGGGAGGAGGGCATTATTGCCTGCAAGGAGGGGGCAGGATCCAGGGGGCACAAGAAAATGCTTTGCGCAGGGTCCAATGAATAATAAAGACTGCCCTGTCCCTCATGCTGCCAAAACTGCTCTGATGCATGGACCTCGGAACATGTCCTGTGGTATCTGACATAAAGACATTCGCAGCAGATCATTTCAATCCTGCAAGTTAAGAGGTGGGGCCTCCATGGATCAGATTTGTTATTCCAGCACATCCCACGGATGCTCAGTCAGACTGAGATCTGGTGAATTTGGAGGCCAAGGAAACCCTGTGAACTCTTTGCCATGTTCCTCAAACCATTCCTGAATTCTCTACCCCGAACTATGCCATTTCTTATGATAAAGTACCATCTCGCCCAAAAAAAACCCCAGAAAATTACCCTTCTGATTTTCCACTCACCTTTACTATTTATTGTCTAAATAGTTTATACCTTAAACCAAGGACTCTATTTTACCTTCTCTTCTCAACACAATATTACAATATGTGAATCCCTGTGTGTGGTAAACACAAAAAATTCTATCTGAAGTTACTCTTGCACTACATCACAAATATATAGCTCTAATCTGATATAGGGGAGCATATATACTTTCTTTTTTTCATTGTCTAAATAATATACTAGCGCTCTGAAATGAAGTATTATACTTTATTTTTCACCAAATCTTTAGGGTTTATAACACTATATAAAATATGTATCTATATATTCTCTTTAAACATGGAGATGACTCCTATTTTAAACATGGGCATATTTATATACTATCTAAATTAATTGTTACATTAGAAACAACCTGTTACTTTAAATATGCAATCAATAATCTTATCGATATTTATATGATTCTGATTAACCCTATAAAAATTGTAATGTCACTAACATATTGAGATGGTCAAATTTAATTTTGATCGAATTTGATCTAAATCTACTTTCTGTAACCCACATCTATAAGATATCTATAGGATGTTCATTAGCCTGATAAATAATTCACAATATTATTTATATACCCAAATGATACAAATTTAATTTAATTTATTTACTCTAATCAAGCTCAAAAAGTTTAATGTTGATATACAAATCATCGCTACACACACTTATTATTTAAAGGGTTCAAGTATACATTCCAAATGTAGATACTGTTTCACCCCAGAATGTGGATATACTTTATTTAAAAACCATTTGGAAGAAATATCCCTTTTGAACTGTATTTTATTTCATACAAAATGGACACATTAAATGTTCTGTTGTAATTGACTATTAA